ACCCCCTGATTAGGCCCACTAATGCCAAATGTCATCAAAACCCTTCAGTAGTTTCGGATATCAAATATGTGGACAAACGACTGACACTTTATACAAATAATGCGTAATAATTAACCCACCCTTAAAAATGAATTCTAAGTACGCTACTGGCAATAATATTATTGTGCCCTATAACTCTTCACGGAATGCGATCTGGACTTTTCCTCAACAAAAACTATAGTACAACTGAGGTCGCTACTGTCGAAAGGCACCTCAAATAAGCCTGCTGGGCTTGAAATGGTGCCAATGTAAATTCGAACCGCGCACTGATTGCTCTTTCAGTTGGTAAACAGAGCGGCAGATATTTGCTAAATGCTGAATGCAGTTCTTTGTATGCGATGCCTACATACTTGCACCACGAAGTGCCATGTCACCGAGCAATGGTCAACTAAATCACTGTATTTATGTTAATTCTGTACCATCGTAGGATTTAGCTTCCCTCCACCTTTCTATGTACTTAACAGATGCCTTATACTTCTCATTGCATATGTAAACTCCTCTGTCGTCACTAAATAACTAAGAAATTAACGCAAAAATGTTACAAGACAACTGGAAAACATTCTTAAACTCACTTTATGACTAAAACAACAAAAACGGGCCGTACAGAAATGTAAAATAATAAATAAACGTAACTTTAAAATACTTGAGAATACTTTAAAAAGATATAATTTTCAGGTTACATGTATATAGTCTTATTTATATTTGTTCATTTCAATAAATTGCGGATCGGTTTTGAAGGTGCGACTGTGTTCGCCGTTGAACTCTGTGTTCTGACGCAGTTAACCTTTTCCGTGCTGAGATTTAACAGCAGAAAGTCAAAGACATTCTTTAGTTTTGTGCTTTTTATGTAATTTATAAGCTTATTGTGTATTAGTGGGAAGTTGCAAACGGTCAGTGTTAACTCAGGCACTTCATGATATGCCTATTTTATCATTCGTAATCTCAAGAACTAAAGGTGTGCGGCAAGATAAACCGATTTCAGTCCCGATATCTCGTTTGCAGCATGTAGAATATTAACAGTGCGACATTTTGTCATTTCGTGATCGATTTTTAATAACATTTGCATTGAGTTCTTGTGTTGTACAGTGGCTGCTTTCAATATGCTTATTGTTCACTTTCTTAAGGAAATACGAACCTAAAATATATCCAGAAGCAGGATATTGTAATGAGAGATGACAGCTACAAGTTTTCTCAGTTAATACTTGTTACAAATATTTGTAGCTGTAAACAAGTAAGAATGTTCCTGAAGTTTTATCCGAGTCAGTATTTGGTGGTAAATAATTATTAAGCACACACTCATTTGTTTCGGAGATGGAACATTCAGACGAGCAGAGACTATCTCCACATTATCCCTTTTTTATACTTTTTTTTTGTAAGAAAGCACAAAACTGTCTTTACATTAATTCGAGTCTCATGCGAGTAAATCGGTGACGATTTAAGAATTTTTCTCGACTCGGGCTTCATTGTGATCAGATTACAACCGGAGGGAGTTGAAGTCGCCACTTATCCTAACTTTTAACTTAAGGCTAAACATTAGTTCAAAAAAGGTGTACAGACACGTGGATATAAAGTCCAGCACATTGTATAAAAGCATTCGATAAAGGAGATTTACAACTTTACGCTCCAGCCGCTTTATCTTCCGGGAAATTAGACCTCGTGACCAGTGGTATAGGAGGCTGAGAGTAATACCGAAGGAAAGAAAGCCGGGAATCGAACCCCGACCCTCCTGCGGGATGAATATACTTTTAAATTTCGTCTTGTGAAGAGGGCCCTTAACGCTTCTGGAGAGTGTCACGTGTATTAGCGGTCGACATATTTCACACATGCTGTGAGAGGCCGAGCCCCACATAATGTCATTATTTTACCTGCGCCTAAAACAAACACGTGAGCCGCGAGGAACCCCACGCCCTCTGAATCTACTTATCACGGCGCGGGCACTGTGTACTGAACGCGCGACACTGTGTTTTAGGGTCGGCCATGAAAAGGACATTTCTTCGTGGTATATTTCCATTTCTGTTTGTTCAGAAATGACCATTTCCGAAAGTCATAATCATAAACACACTTCTTCGTAAATATTGATCATCGCCATCATTTGTTTAGAATAAGCCTGTTAAGAGAGAAATGTAAATTATGACCGTATGAGAATTCGTTGCCAGGTGTAAGAATTTGTGCACCGTTCAACAGCGTCAGTAGGAAGGTATTATGTTAAATAGAGCCTGTCATGAGTAAAAATGAAATTTTATAAAATTTAATAAAGATGTGGGCTGGATTAAAGTGGTTCAGTATATGGTTTTAAGGTCGATTTTTGTGATGGTAGTGATGAACACTCGAGTTTTGTAAGAAAGAATATATTGTGGTTAGCTGAGCAACTAAGCCTTTTAAGTTTTTGATTCAGGAACATGCTGTAGGCTTGCAATCCAGTTCGTTGTCGTTGTTTGCGATAATAGTGTATGAAATTAGGAGTAGAATACATTCGGTAAACGCTTGTTTTTATTAAATTAAAAAACTTTTCATCTCGTTTGCTATCCAAAACACTAAAGATCAGGATATATAAAACAATAATTTTACCTGTTGTTTTGGTTTAGAAACATGGCCTCTTACCTTGAATGAAGAAAATAGATTACAAGTGTCTGGAAACAAAGTGCTCAGGAGGATATTTGGACCTAGGTAGGATGAAATAATTGGGTAATTTATAAAACTGCATAACGAGGAGCTGCGTGAATTGTACAGGTCACTTAGAATAGTGAGGATAGCAAAATCTAGGAGATTCCGACGGGCTGGACAAGTAGCACGCATTGGGGGCGGCAAAGGGTGAATAAAGAATTTTTGTAGGGAATCCTTATGGAAAACGACCACCGGGCAGACCAAGAAGGAGATGGAAGGGTAACATCAGTATGGATCTTAGGAAGATGGGCTGTGAGGGTGATAAATAGATGGAGTTGACTCAGGATTGTGGCCGGTGGCGGGCTTTGGTGTTGTCGGTGTTGGACCTGCGGGTTCTGTTACCAAGGAGTTGGTTTTATATATATTATTGTTATTTTTATTGCCATTATTATTATGCGTGTTTTTCGTGCAGTCCGTTTGCAGATTTTTTCACCCATATTTTCCCTTGTTTTGGTTTAGAAAACGTAATTAATTAAAGATCTGCAGTTTTAATGAATGCGTTCAGTTGATGGACTGCAACAAGTTCCATGAAGCACTTACGTGGCCTTTCATATGATCGGGATTACATCAGTTCCTGAGAAGACTCATGCAGGCGTACCTAAACGAAACACCAAGGATTTCCCCCTCCAACTCGGGTAACAACGAAAATTGCCATGAAACCACATCTCCTGAATGGAACGGCTTCTAGGGAAAAATCATTCGTTATTAGATTATTTTACGTTGTATAAACTACTGATTGGCATGTCTGTATAACATCCAATGACTGCTTTGATGACATATGTCATGCACCGTCGAATACTATGGAAGATATTATTAATGATAGGTTACTGTTCTCACGAATTTCAATGTAATTTGTTGTAATTCATCTAAGGAAACTGAGTAAACCGAAAAGAGACTTCAGTCAGGACATTTGGTAACAATCGAAATTCAAACCGCGTACTTGCCAAATGTAAATTTAAAGTACGTATTGTCGCTACATCAGCCTGTCGGATGAACCGAATGAGATGTGTAGAATAATTGTGAGTGGTTAGTCGGGGAGAACAAGAGAGTAAGTGGTCGTAGTTTGTTTTGGGTAATGTCGACGAATTTGTTAGCAGGGACTGAGGAAAACCACAAAAGTCACTGCCGGTTCAACTACACTTCTCAGGAATATAACAGGAAAAAGTTCAAAAATGATATTGTAAAACAAACGATGAGAAGAGAAACATTATTATATTTTTGTGAATTTGTTTTAAAATAATATCGATACGCGGAAGAAGACTATAAAAGGTGTAAGTCGGTGTAATCCATTCTGGTAGTTCCACTTTTTCTTTTTTGCAAATTTATTTGTTATTGAATTCGTCTGTTGTATTCGTGGCCATTTGTTGTAGATACAAATAATTCTTTCCTCTTTGTCCTATTTAAATCGTGCCCAGTTTTTATTGTAGAAGTTCGCCACAGCACAGCTTTACGTCATTAAGGTATATAGATGTGTAGATACTCAGCTGCATACCTTAACTTCGGCTCTTGGTGGCGGAGAATGGTCATCTTTACGTTCAGACCGCATTATCATTGCAGAAGGATTAGGCCGAGTGGACCTCAGAACCTGTCTGAACATGTTGCTTGCCAGAAGACATTCTTTACTGTCTTGCAGGAGACAAGATATTAGGGATTTATTTCGAGTGCAGTTGACAGCCTGTGTTTTTAATAGCAAAACCTAGATATCAGTCGGGTTTGTCTATCCCTGTCTAAACCAGACAGGATGAGGGCGGCACATTGCAACAAATTCTAGGAACTGAAATAATGAACCGTTTTCACAAACCCTTTTCTGTGTTACCCTGTTTTACTGTATCCTCAGTGTGTCATTTTCTCTGACTTCTTGGAAATTGTTTTTATATGAAAGGCTTTTTTTATCCTCGTAACTAAACCCACTAAAAGCACGAATTATATTGCATGTTGAGTGATGCACGAGACTGCATGCATTCTATTGTTTGCTGTATAATGATTATAAACTATGCCCTTTTCATAAAATTTAAAATCAACAAGGTAGGAACTAGGTCCTACACCGTTGCAGAACACTGCATTGGACACTAAGGTCGTCCAAATTACAATGATAACAAGATGCTGATTGTAGTGTTTTCTTTACATGAAGTGCTTAAAATTAATACCTGATTGAGAATTTATGTCTGTCTCCATGTTTCATTTGCGAACACATCGACCCTAGTTCTATGGAACTCGGCCCCCAGTGGGTGGATATGGAGCAGCGGTGGAATGGTATTTACTGGGGAAAATTGAGCAAATGTCTGTTTTTGGTACAGGTACAAGGACGGAAGACCTTATCCGTGGCCCGGGGTGGTGTCCGGGTTCATTCTGTATCCAGAGTCGGCGAACCAAACCATCTATTCCAACTCAGTGGTGCAGTCTGACTCTGGCAACTACTCTTGTCTCGTAAGAAACGACACAGACGAGCTCTGGCACACAATTAATGTCACGGTGATGGGTAAGTCTCTCTTTGTTTTAACTAACTTCATATATCAGGGGCCATCTTAAGAAGCTAATAGTCCTCGTAATTAGTCAAGAGACTCCCTGCCCTTTTTTGGAACCATTTTTACAAGAGTCCGCTACGAAAATCTGTCCTGAGACAGATGAATTCAGTCTACGTCCTGACACCTTGATTTCCCAAGATCCATTTTAATACTGCAATGTACTCTGCTCCTAGGTTTACCAAGTGTTCTTTTCCTTTGAGGTTTCCCCGATTAAAATTACATGTATATTTCTCGTCTTTCGCGCGTTCTACGTGTCTCGCCCTCCTTTATTATATAAGTTTAAGAGTATTTAGTGTAGATTACACATTACGAAATTCTCATTATATAAAGTTCTCTATTACTTCTCTCTCTTAGCTTAAAATTTTCGTCGCCCTATTCTTAATCATTCTCAGTCTAACTTCTTACTTCCAGCAGAATGCGAGACAAAGTTGAATGAATATTCATATAAATCAGCATGTAAATCGCTCTGTCTTGCTACTTTCGAAACTGTATTTCAGTGCTGAATATTTTGTTTTACATTTTCTAGATGGCATACGAAAATTTATTTTTTTTATTTTAATTTTTTGTATTGAAATATTCTCACATGCTGTATTCAACACTACTGTACGCCATATATTATGCAGTTACCTATCTCGACAAAACGTTGTATGTTTATTAAGAACCATGCGTTTATTTCTGTATGTTCTAAACAAATAAGCCTGATATTGAAAGTGCCTGTTCTTTGTCTTGTTCGTTCTTAAAATAAACTTTACTTAAAAGTAAAACCACTAATTTGTTATAGCAACTTTATGAACCCCCTTTAAACAGTTTTCTGTTTATCATTGCCGTGTCGTCTCGTGGTGATCGTTATGAGTATTAAACGGTTTCCAAGCAATGAAACAGTCATGGCTATAGATATATGTGTGTTATGAATTATTGGTTATGGTGTCCTAGTAAACAGAGACGGAGAAACGGGGAAGAAATAGAAAGACAAAAAATCGGATAATCCCCCAGTAAGAAGATTTCTCGAAACTTCTTTCTTACCCAGACATTATTACTGTTTTCTTTAAATTAAAAGGAATTTTAAAAGAGATTGCTTCCTCTTTGAAGGCTGTGAGCGGAATAAATCATGTCTCCTCTTCCACAGGGCTCTCGCACTTTGGCTGAGAGTGGTGTTCCGAGATTTCCATAACCTTTTCAGCTTACAGAAATTAGATCTGTATCAGTGCGCACTTGAAGTGCGTCGCCTGGCAGATTTCTCGGAGACAGGGATTTTGTAACAGTTATTAATTTGATTTTATGTGTAGTCAATTAAACAACATTTTAAAGATACGATTCAATTTGAGCGACACAAGGAAATCCAAATACCTTCTTAGAGACTTTGCATCTCCAATTGGTACAATGACGTTCATTTATGACAGATACAAATAGAACACTTACGTTAATTAGCCATCAAGAAAGAGAGAACCATTTCATTTCTTGGAGTTACTGTAACAAATAACTGGAAATTTCTGGCCTCTCGTATCATAATGTCCGATCATCATCGACCAACGGAAGATAGGGTTCGAGCCGTAATCCTAGACAGCGAGAGTGGCTCTATTCGATATCGACTCCGATGAAAATGTGGTTGGATCTCAACAAAGTACCTATTTTTAGCATTTGAAATGGAAATTATTTTCTTCTCTGTAACGAATCGACCGGACGGAATGAACCATTTTGTGCACATGCTTAGGTATGTTCTGCACAGCTTATATGAGTTTAGAAGATGGCGATCTTCTGGACTGTAGCGACGTATAGTGTGGTATAAATATACCGACGTTTCAGAAGTATCTTCTTCCTCCTTCATCAGGGCGATGATGAAGGCAGCATGTACTTCTAAAACGTCGGTAACCTACACGGCGCTGCAATCTAGAAGACTGTCGCCTTCATACTTATCGCCACGAGAACCTCAGATCCCGTCATGTTAGTTTAATTCACGTCTGTAGAGCTGTTAAGTTTTGCATGTTAGAAGTATCTTTCTTTTATGCTACTCTGTATGATTCCATATATATGTAGCCTACCGTCTTCGGCCAGTTTGGTTTGTCTGAGTGCTACAATGTCGGGATCGCAACCGTGCGACCGTTCAGCACGCTAGGCTACATCATCGCGATTTCCTATGCATGTAGTGTGTAGGCTAATGGCTGCAATTTCGTAAAATTTTCGGAAGTCATCTTGAAAAAAGTAACGATTAAAAAGAAACGGAACTCAACAAAAGAGTTCCCTTTATTAGTTCTGCCTACAGTCAAGAAGATTTCGCTTCAACTCTTTTTCCCCCCTTTTGTTTCAGTATGAGTACTAACGTAATTATTCCTGGAAATTCGCCCAGGCCAGGTACAGTCAATACCAAAACTACACACCCTTTCAAATATCGTCAGAGGATGCTCTATAGAAGGTTTGACAACACACATTATGTTTCTCTTACAGCTACTGATTCTTGGCCTGTAGCACTAGATATTTTATACCATCACTTCATTAATGATTTTAGGGTACATGGTCATGTTCTTTGCTTGAAGTTCTTAAATTGATCCAGTAATGAGGATACTACGTTAATCTGTAGTTATGATTTGAAATTCATCACAACTTTCGTTTACATTCTTTTTGCAAACCATTTAACTGATTTCTCTGCGGTATGGTTAGGCCTAAGACGTTCTACATTAAATTTTGTTACTAAATTTTTATTTTCGTCCGTATAAATCCGTTATATTCCTTACTTTATATGCATTTTCTAGCATTTTTTAAATTAAGGTTCGTGTTACAAAATGGGTAGCCCACATATGGAAGAAATATATACTGTTGCATTGCAGAATCGAAACTACCGTGGTCTGTTCCAAGTTGGAGTAAATTTTACCCCCGTTTCTCTGTTTCTTTCCTCCTTTCGCATTTACTGTATGAAAGCAAATTGTAAACAGCGAATAACGTATTTATAAAATACATACCGACCTTCTCTATTGATGTACGCATTTCCACTCTTTTTCCTTAAAATTAGTGACTTGGTTCCTCGGAAGAAATAAACAGGCCTAAGCGCGAAGTCCCTGAGACATTTTTTTGTTTTTCGTGAAGCGCCTTAAATTCCTACACGCTAAAAATAATTAACCTGTGTTCAATTATAGGTACTACCAACATGTTTCGTTTTGAATTGTGTTAATGGCGAAGTCGGATTGTGGGGGTGGAGCATTGCTTACCAAACCATTGTCCAAGGTACACTTTTTTCTTAAAATAATTATTTTATTTTAAGCGTACTTAATATTTTTGTGAGTAGTGTGCTCTTACGTACCGAAAATTAGTTGAATATCAGGTATATAATTAGGACGTTCGTTTCTAAAGTCCGTTCAACATGAACTACTCCGTTTATTTTTGTGGCGATGTATCTTCAACTATAGAAAGAATTTTGACAAAAATTGTAAGTTTTCGAACTGTTCATTTCTTCTGCTCTAGGATATGGGATATTCTCCGAGGTGAGTCAAGAAAATAATACTGAGCGATTGCCCCACCATAGATTCAGAAGAAGCTCAAATCAGGTTCTCTAGTAATCTCTAGTAACTTTGACCTAACGGATCCTGAAGAATTTCACAGTCTCTATGTGTCTTCTTAAAAAAACACAAATCCCAAAGAACTTCACTCGCTCACGTACTTAATGTAAATGGAAACCTTTTTCTCAAGCGGACTCTTATTGTACCAAAAATCATTTCCATTTCTTGCTCTACCTTCTTAAGCAGAACTGAAGCTTAATTTTGGATCAAACTTGTTTCGATAGAACGTATACTTTGTTGGGTAGCAAACATGATTTCATCATTAGGTAAACTTATCCGTGAACATAAAGAAATGCTGTTGAAAATGGACTGTCATATGGATTTAAAGAACAGAAGAAGTATACAGGCAACATTCTTCTTGTAATATCATAAAGAAAATCATGCCATCATTGTAAAGAGTGCTTTATGCGCTGGTAAACATTTTCTTCTTCTTTCCACTTATGGATATAAAATTTTCTCTTCGCCACTACTAAAGACCCCCTCCCCGGGGGGCCCAACAGCCAATGAGTATCGGAAACTCCTTCCTCAGGAACAGAACTGCCGGAGTGTGACCACACAACCACCTGGTCTAAAGTTAAGAATGTATGGAGCTGTCTTGTACGACTTCATAGCATGGTGCTTGGGCACAGGGGTAACATGTACTATAAATTTTACTGATTAAACACCGCACTTTCGGCTTAGAATTGGTTCTGAGACGATAAATTTCTTCAGATACGTGATAGGAATTCTTGACACGGGCTGATGTTAAGAATGTGTAGAAGCTATCCTTCTCTCCGCCCAAGCGCCTATATGGCGTATAGTGGGACAGGTTTACTTTTTTTATTGTTTTATGGTCATTTGGAGAAATTTTGCGCTAGATTTTATCTAACAGCAAGGTCCTTGGTCAAGGACCCATCCGCCTACCAACCAACAACTGCGATACCTGTCCCGTATTATTTATTTTTGCTTTGTCTTCGTGATTGTGGGCTGTGTTAATCTTATTGAGCTACACATTTACGTAAAACTTAACAGAACTTGCCCGAAGAAACTGAGGCAATCATTAAAAAATTCGGTCAACATTTGTGACATCCGATGCTGACAATTGAACTCGGAGCCTTCCGAATACCAAGCAGGAATACTCTTCAGCCACGATTCTCGGCGATGAACTGGTGCTATGGAAAATGATTTTGAAATTTACATTTTTTAATAAGTTTCAGCATCAGATTATATCAAAATACTTTTTTTTGAAGCAAACTATTTTAGGCGCCTCACGGCAGAACGACAATGACAAACCGATGGAATGGTGTGAAATGCAATTCCGACCTGTCGCATGAGCCACCCGGCCACGTTCGGCTTTGTCTTGTGTAGGCGCGACAGTTACGCGGAAATGTTCGGTACGGCCCGGGAAGCAATAAGCGACATTTCCTGGAATGTCGCAGGCATGAAATCGATAAGAAACCAGAGATAATAGGCGAGCTGCATGCACCCTGCGTACTACATGGAAATGTGCAAGTCAAGGAAAGGGTATGATCGGTGATCGTTTCCCCACATTTTGACGCAAAAGTTTATGAGAATGTTCTTTTTTTAGTTTCCATTACACTACATTTTCCATAATTAAATTGGGGTGAAAAGAGTACATCATATTTTTTTTTCCTTCCATTGTTGGGGGGGAGGGGGGTTCTCAGTTTCCTGACAAGTTCTTTGCGAGTATATCCCTTTTTGATCTCGGTGTTTATTATATGCAGAAACAGATGTTATCGGCATAGAGTGAATAAATACTAGGCCAGTAGTTATCTTGCAAAGAAGCAGATATTTTCACACTGAAAATGATCCATTAGATTGTATCGCAGGTTTTCATGAGATCTGTAATTTATTGTCTCCATCATGTGTTCTCTTTATACAATGTATGCAAGATAACGCATAGAAAGCTTAAATATAACGTCTGCATATTTCTAGCGCTGATATTTCTCGACCGACCCCGCCAGATAGTGGGTAGAAATTAAAATGGAAACGGTAAGGAATGTATTTCATCTTCGAACAATGTAACGCACGCTAAGCTTGATTGATAACTTTTTTTCGAAAACGTTTTATAACCCCTTTCAGATTTAAGTCATCAGGAAAGTATTTTTGTAGAGGGATAGTTTTCTGAGCAATTCACACATAGACATAACATCGAAACAGGAACTTTCGTTTTTTTACTTGTTTCCATTTTCAATTTCAAAATGTCTGTTTCTTTTATTTTTTCTTTCAACATCTTGTTCCTTATACTTCTTCTCTTGTCCTTTTTTCTCTTCGTCTTTTTCTTGTTCGTATGTTATTGCTCCACAGTCAGTGTCGTCATTTGTTTTATTAATTTAGCTTCGATAATGTTGCCGCCCAGAAATCCTCCAATATTCGTTACACGCGGCAAACTGCCTGAAATATTTCGTGGGTTCCCTACTCTGTACTACAGCAGATACTTTACCACTCTTGTCGATTCACCCTGATATATGAATTATCTGTAATTCCCAGAAATCATTGATTTTGACGCCCCCAGTTCCAAACCGATGTACTGTAGGTTGTTCTAGGAAAGGATAGTGCCTCTCTTTTTATTTTGTTCTCCAAACTGCCTAATCCTATATAGAAGTTTTTTTTCTTCAGCACCGCCCATTTCAGGAAAGGGTACAGCAAGGAGGAATATGCCATGTAAGATGTCAAAAGTTTTAAAGAAACTAAACCAGCAAGGACAAGCTGAGTACAACATACTTTCAGAAAAGGTTTTGTGAAATATGAAATTGCGCTGCGTTTCCAGTTTACACGTAACCTGAGTCACTAGTCGTTATTTTGTGTCCTACAAAGCAGATAAATTTTTGTCTCATATTATGTCTATACTTTTATTAATCTGCTGATTCTGGTGGGTGCGCGGCTTCATGGGGAACGCAGGTTCGAATCTTTCTGTTTTAGTTTCTTAATGGTTTCTATCATTCAGCAAACGAATCAAGTGAAATAAAAACATACAGCCCCGTGGAGTTTCAAATTTTACAAGTATAAATCGTAGATGAATGAGTTCCTTTAACGTATATTTGAAGAATGCCAAACACATGTCAGAAGAATTTTTATGTAATTCAACACTCTCGAGTCACTTTTTAAGTGATTTTATGCATTTTCGTTTGTATAACAGCGTACCATATAGGGTTCAGTCATAGCAGCGGGGATTTAACTGGACAAGTTGTGTGTTTAAAAAGTCAATAGACACACGACAAATAAGAACGTGAGTTAAGTCTACCATAGCATATAAAGTGTAAAGAACCTCGTGTATTAGAAATTGCTCTCGACACTCAAGACAAATCGATCCTTAGAAGCCAGACGCGGCCACATTCTCTGCCTGATTAAATAGGCGTTCACGATTTTACAAGTTTTCCATGAACAGCAACGCTTTCGATTGTCCAAGAATTGACCAGTCCTAAACATAAATGTGAATACTATGGATTTTTCTAGCTAACAGTTTGGCAGGTGCCTCATTAGATTACAGTTATGGTGGCTTCTACGACTTTTCGTGAATTGTTTCTGCTACTGTCTGAGGCAGTTGTCATCAAGAGACAGATGTCTTTATTGTTGTCATTTTCGATATTATTCACGCTTACTATAATCTCCAAAGTACAGACAATAAAATGTATTATTGTAACTACTCGTATAATAGCCTGAAGAAGGGAGTAAATACAGCTCCCGAAACATCTTTTGTGCTTGTGTCGGACATCGGACAGTTTCCAACATGGCTGAGCTCTATTTACGTGTAATATTGAAACCATAATATCTGATCGTCGGACACAGAGTGTTTTAATATGTTTCTAATCTCCGTATCATTGCAGATTCTGCTGGTTACTCTGGTACGCCGCTGCAGATGTATGAACCACATGATCTGTATGTTAAAATTGGGGATGAAGCAAGGCTCTTCTGCGAAGCGTTTGTTGGTAAGCACACACACACACAAAGAATTTACTGCCTTGAATTTAATGTTTTCCGGTGATCACATGACGCATCTAGCTGCCTCCAACTTTCTAATCTCTGCCCGTTGTAATCGATTATCTTCTCCATGACCAGGATTTTCCTTACGGTGAATTCATACCAAAAGCAATAATTATAAAGTGGTTCCTATTATTTTAGTCTCTTCTTTGGTATTCAACGTAATATCTCGATGTTTCGTTTGGTAACAGATCTTTAAAAAAAAACATTCAGGTTGCGCTGTTATTCCATGTTATAAGTCGAGAAGAAACGTTTAGCCTACAACTCTCACATTCTATGACTCAAATTCGACCGGAATCTGTAAGAACGAAAATTCTGCTTGAACCGTTGCCCTGGTGTAATATAATATTCTGATATGTTAATTTCTTTTCTGATATTTCCAGGTCGAATTGATCTACCAGATGCCTACAACGAGGTCCATTGGAAGAGAATGGAGCACAACGGTTCTGTAAAACCTCCTGAAAGATTTCAAGTGACCAATAAATCACGGTAAGTAGAGCCAGTTGCTGTACTCTTCTTTCTATAAAATATCTATATAGGACTTGAGGTTTTCATCACCCTGATGATGGAGGCAGCAATTGTTAATTATCTCATGCCTTTCTGTATTGTAGTCTGAGTAGTATTTCGTCACCTTTGTTTGTATCAGCGTACACTTTAACGTATGCTAGTTAAAATGTCCAACGACTTCAAAACTCTCTGTACTCTCCTCCACCCTTTTCCCCTTTCTTTCTTCGTAGCTGGAAAAGATAGACGGGGAGTCCGAGTATAACCTTGTTATGGAGTGTATCATATTTTATTCATCTTTCTTCGAGATATCGTGCTGTGTCGTGTGACCGCTTTCCTGGAACTTTATGTCTGCCACAGTGAAGAAATAAGCCATTGTGCGTGATATTTGACTTCTGCATGAGCCCATCATGTAACAACATAGGCAATTCTCGTGTTTCTCTCTTCCTTCCCCTCCCCCCTACCTCTCATTCGTCTAGACCCACTTCTTCGCTAGCAACTGAAGAATTAAAATTCTGCGTGATTCAATTCATCCTTCGACTGTTGCGCCACAACCATGCGTGGAAGCGCCGTGGCTAGAAGACAATTTTTTCTCCTCCTTCCCTTTCTTCTTGTTATTCTTCTTTACGAGTTTTAGTATCCGGACATTTGGCGCCCCAGGCGAACCATCCGACATTACGACCCCCCCCTCCCCCAGAAATGTTTTTTGTAAATGAATATTATGCATTTGTATGCACAGTGCTACAATGCAGTTTTATCCTAGAATTTAATCATAATATGGTTACAGATCACTTCAATGTGTAACATAATGCACGCCTTTCTAGTTCCATGCAACAGAGAACTTCCTTTCACAAAAACATAATAAAGTTGCTTGTCAGTTAGTGTTTGTAGAAGTAACTTCGAAAGATGAAAAGTTCAAATTATGAAGCTCTTCATTTTTGAGATTTCTCTGTCCTTACAACCAAGATTAACAAAATATTGATCGGTTATGAATTAATTGATATTTTCAGTACTCGTATATTAATTCTTCAAGTAGTATTTTAAATTAAAACAACACTTGAACTGCATGGGACCAGTTTTTGTTGTCTGTTTTGAATATGTAATGTTATTTATTTTTAAAGGTAAAAATTTGTTGCTTTGAGTGTACTTCATTTGCTGTCAAAACTTGGCCTGCAGACATGCAAGGACATTGATTGCTGGTCGCCTTGTCTGTGCTGTCTATCTGTGGATAGAATGATTCTAACCCTTCATGTCTCATGCAAAGAATCTATTCTTAACGTTATTTCTTTTGTTGTCCTGTGATGACGCCACTGTAGAAGTAATTGCTTTGCATCTCTCCAGAATCCAAATCCAGTAGAATTCACAAACAGTGATATAAGAAAATACGAAAAAACTAGTCATTATAGTGACATTTTTGAGTCTAACAATTTTAACCTAGTATAAGGAATGTTCATACTAATATTATCTCAGTTAATAGGCCTAATGACCGTCTGCAGAATGCACAAGTAGTGTTTTATTCCTAGCTGGAACAGGGATTTTCTCTTTGTTATTATGTCCAGACTGCTTCTCACTCCTACAAAGTTTTCTAACCAAAAAACTTTAATCAGTTTGCACTAAACAGCAGGAGAGGAAGATTGTATAAAAGATGGAAAAGCCCATTCTGAATGCATATTGTAGTATCTGAAGGATCATTACCTATTTCCTGTCCTGAACCAGATGACTCCATATTACACCTTTATCCTCCCAGGTTTCCTGACTAACATTTAGGAGGATTCCCCCCTTGTTATCCGTTCATAACTGCTTATGCATTGTGTTCACCTTCATGTCCGGAGACCATCTCCTCCGTAAGATTTTATGTTTTCATGGCGGTGAGTATGAAGATTTCTGTCTTCTGGGTTGTTGCGCTGTGTAGTGTGGTCGATGTTTACCAACGTTACATAGGTCATACTGCCTCCGCCATCAGGGCGATGAATTCATCGCCCTAATGACAGAGGCAGTATGACTTCAGAAACATTGGAGAACATCGACCACACTACAAAGCGCAACAACCCAGAAGACAGAAAGCTTCACCATCTCCTCCATTTGCAAATATAGGGAATTCTATGTTGTGATGGCAAGAAGTCATATTGCTTCGCAGAATACTTCACTACCTCAATTGATTTTGAAGCAGTGTGAGTCTGAGCGATGAGAAAGAGTATTTTGGGCTTATGTAATTTGGTAAACACTTCACAGTTTTGTTGTAAGTCCCCAGAATTCTATGATGTTGATGTTTTACAACAACGACTATTAAGTTCCTTTTACTGTAACAAGTGTATCACTAAAGGCTACCAAAAGCTCATTAACAAGAAGGTGTTGAAACAACTTCTTTACTGTGAAGCCTCAAGCATAGCCTACAGCCTGTCATTAAATAATTATAATGACCCCAGACTGGACTGTAAATTCTCAGCAACTGTAATTGTTTATGTAATCATTGTCTTTATCTTTTGTAATTAGGATCTTGCCACATAGAGGCTAACATATGTAGTTCTTTATACCTGATGTAATATTAGTTACATGCAGAAGAGGAAAGGTAAAAATTGTCACAATTATATTTAAATTTATTCAGTAGCAACATAATGAGCTTTATGTAGTTATGTATACCAGTGGTATTCAACCTGGGGTACGCATACCCCCGGGGGTACGCAAAGACATCTTAGGTGATACGTGAAATTTAAAAAATATATATATTATTTTATGATAAACACTGAATAATCAGTAATGTAATTTATTTAATTTATTTTAGATGTAGATTATACACTATATATAACTTGAATTATACATCAACAACTTTGGGGGTACAAAGTTGAAGAGAAATTATATCTGGGGGTACACGAACAAAAAATGTTGAATACCACTGATGTATACTATTTGATTTTTTTTTATGATTGATATCCTGTCACTCTTAGCCAGAGCATAGGGCCTCGGCAAAAGAGCACCAACAAGTTCTATTACAAGCCAGAACTTTCATCTCCCTCCAGGTCGATGTAAACTATCAGTACTGAGTAAATTACTAACACAAATAGATTATATGAGACTGACAAACAATTTGCAGTTTCCTGAACTATTAAATGCATTTATTCCATTTCAATAGTATCATGATCACTTTTCTGCTGCCATAGAGCCTAAATTGCAGATCAGTTGATTTCATTTATTTCAGATTCTTGGAGCAGTAAAACAACAGTTTTCCGGTGTGTGTATGTGCACGAGGAATAATTATAATGAAAGTAATCCATGAGAAAAATGAGGTTTATCCAACTTCTCTTTCTTATAATCTGTACAAGGTATTGTAATTGTTACGTGTTCCCAGTTTGTCAGTGATGAGAGATGACAGTGTTGCAGTGTGATTTCAGAAAATACTTGCAACTTTACTCCTTGGTGTCATGTATGGCAAGACATATTCAGCAGAATTACTCTGTAAAACTTAAAGGGTTCCATTCTCTTTTAGAAAGTTCAGGTTTTGTAGGAAATTATTAGAGTTGACAGTATGAACAACATTAGAATAATTAAACTAGGCAGATGAGGTGGATGGGACATGTAGCATGCTTGGGAGAAATAAGATAGAAATACAAAATTTTTGTTTGATTATATCAATAGAAGAGACACTTAAAAGACTGTGCATTCATGGGAGAATAATATTATAACAGATCTTTGGGATATATGGCATGTTAGTGTTGACTGAATTCAACTGGCTCAGGATATGGCAGGTTTTATGGTAATGAACTTTCAGGTTCCATGAAAGTGGGAAATTTCTTGACCAGCCAAGGAACTTCTGTTTGAGATAGAAATAATGAATAGTCACTGGCACTGCATGAACTGAATTTTTTTAAATGGTGTTTATTCATTGTTACAGGGAAGACAATGAGATTCTGGGTTCACACCTGCTGATTCGTGGAGTGAGAAGAGAAGACTTTGGACAGTACACATGTCAGATTAGCAATACTTGGTTTCAGTCTGTTGACACATCAGTGTGGCTCAGAGAGATTGGTAAGGCAAAATTACTAAAACCATGGTTATAAGGTGTACCGCGTAACTGCTTCTTTAACACAGCCTGAATCATATTTTACTTTAATTTTTTGCTTGTTTTACATTTTCAGTGAATTGTTAGTTGATTTTGTAAAATTATTTTCCTTGAAAGAGCTGAGCTTCATAAGGAAGCTTCAGATGAAGTGCAAATTGTTGAGGTAATGAGATGTCAATTAACTCTTCTAAATGTTTTAAAAAAGAATGAATGATTTTTTGGTTATTTACTATCACTTTTTCACATATATATATATATATAATATTGAATGTTTGAATGGTTGTGTGAATGTTTAATTGGAAAGGATGAGAAAAAAATTGATCTTGATCTGTTTAAGGCACTGTCTTTGTAGTTGCCTGTGAGACCAAGAAAAAACATGAAAAGGCTCAGCCTGGATTCAAACCTAGAACCTCTTGAACATGAATTACTAGTGTTAACCACTTAACTGCATTGTTAATTTATTTCTAATGTTATAAATGGAAATTGCCTTGTTCAGATATGTACACTGTGGAAGGTTGTAAGAAGCTGTGGCATTCACTGTGCTGTCAGCTTTACCTCTGGACAGTCTTAAATTGGAAGAGATATTCCAAATGAAGTAAAGGGAAAGTTCCTTTTGTGTCATGCATATAGGTTGTTGTTAATGTGAAGCTCTATACATTCATCACTTTGAAATTTGGTCAGTGTTCCACAAACTTTCTTCACCATAATATATGTCCTTGCCCTATAAGTGTACAGACATATGAAAATAAAACATAACACTTGTTGAATATAACTGTCAGTGATGAACCTGTATGTGTGTGTTTTCTACAAACTCTACTTATGAATGATAGGATATTGCCTTTTTCTAACTGTAGTGCTTGAATATAAAGTGTCATTGTATACCAGTTGAGGAACACTGCACTTGATGAAGGTGAGTGGTTAATTTCACTGTATGACTATTTTACCCATGGAGAAATAATCTCTGATACCCATTGGATGGTAGCCTTATGGTTAGTAGATAGAAAAGTTCTGTATCTATCTGGGATTTCAGCACAGCCATCTAACCCACAGTCCATCACTTTACTGATTGAACCATCTCAGTTCCACTTCTTCTCCTATGGCACAACAACCCGAAGTCAAGCCTTGGCCTCCTTCCATGTGGGAGGTTTCTTTGTCTTTGAAGTGTGCATTTATGAATAGTGAGTGACAATCCCACTGCCTCTCCACAATTTCTATTAAATCCTTATTTGTCTGCTATAGCCATCTAGTAGTGAATCAGGAGAGACTTGAATTTTGCTTACGAAACATCTCGTTCATGCTCATAAGGTTCTTTTACATGCCATAAATCTACGACATGGGACCGCCAGCTTTACTTCCCCTCTGAAGGAAGTTGTTTTACGTATTTTTATCACCCTTAATAATCCATCAACCTCAGCTGGGTCTGAACCTGCGAACCTTGGGTCCAGTGGCGAGCATGCTAACCACTAGTCCACCAGGGTCTCACTTCCACTTGGATATGTTTAAATATGTTATCAGGTTGTTCTCAAAATAATTTGTAATCAGTTAGTGAACATGTATCATTGCTAACAGTAATGAATTGAATGTATTAGGTAATTAATTAATTTTAGAGGCATATAAATGTGTACCTGTGTTTATAGTGCCATATCATGATGAGAGCCAGGACAAGACAGCGTACAAGCAGATCCTATTAGTGTTTGCAGCAGTTATCCTTTCATCTCTTACACTAGTTGCTCTCTACTTACGCTTTGGATTGCAAGTTCGAGTTATCTGGAAAGACTCCTTCTGTAGGCAAGAAACTAATGGTGAGTGGATGACATAAGGTTACACGCAACAAAGGAAATTTTTTAACTGTTTAAAATTGTGTGCATATATTAAAAAATTATATAAATAGAGTTTGATAATTTCCCCTCATTTATTCCTATAAGATTGTTCTGTTATGCATGCCCAGGGGTGGAAATAGATTTTCAGAACAAAGTACTATATGCCTTAGAATCAGTAGAAGAGTGTAGAGAAGGGAAAAGAGCAAAGTAACACATTTATGAAGGATATTATTAAAATGTATAACATAGTTCTGCCAACCACTTAACATTCTTTTGAATACTCTGTGTTGTTTTGTGCAGCAGCAGGCATGCTAAAGGAAAGTATTGTTTCTAATGTGTTATTTGTATCCTATTATCACCTATTGGGAAATGGATTTTATATTTCTTCTTGTTGAGAACTATGGTTAATATCATCTTTAGGCACTGAACAAACTCACCTGAAAATAAAGTGCTTTGGAACTAAGTATATTGCGTATACCTGCATCCATGCCAATTTTTAGCCTTGTGTATGTGGTACATCAGTTGCACATCCATTTATGACAGAAAGGGGGAAGGTTCTTAATTGTTTGTTTGTGATGATTTATTGTATCTTTATGTCGATGTGCATTACTGTCTAATATCTTGATAATTTGGTTTCCATGGATTTTCAAACATTTAAATTCGTTACCATGTTATGCCATATGGAGTTCATTCATTGTTTACTTTTGTGTAAATGGACTAAATTTTAAAATCTGTATGATAAAACATATAGATATGTTTGAAGGAGCATGTATGTCTCAATGGAAAGGGTTTCGTTTGTATTGCTCAGTATGAACCAATGAATATGTGATGAAATGCTAGATAATATGTTTACTATGTAAAGTTGTAATCACTGTTTTTATCCGAGGTTTGTCTGATGAACTACACAATACTTTTACTGCAGGGACATTATTTCATGATATTTTGTTACGGTAATAGATACATTCTGTAATATCACAAAAACATGCGTCTACATTTATCACTGTTATGTATATTTTTTCAGAAATGGATTTTTATCGTCACTGTAAGTTTTCAACCGTTTGTGTAAAGTATACATAGAAATTAATTTCTCAAGGTTTGAAAACTTATGTAATAACTGCTTATATATTCTGTTTTAGATGGCAAAGATTATGATGCCCTCGTATGTTATGATGACAGAGACTCAGATTTTGTACTGGGCATGTTGGTGCCAAAACTTGAGACACTTTATGATTATCGCTGTATTACACATCATCTTGGATCCATTCATGGAAACTTTGGGACAGAATGTAAGTTAACATTGATAGATCTAACAAATGAAGCAACAAATTTATATAAAACAAAGCAGTTTATGGTGAATATTTTATTTCTTGGTGAATACATTTTTATTGTATGAAGGATGCTTATAGATCTTCTAAAAGCTACTTTCCTTGGTGTAATTTTAATGCTTTTCATATTATTTGAGACAACTGGGATAATTCTATAAAATAAACCAGACATCTTCCAGTTTAGTAGTCATTCACATGCAATTAAATACCTTGAAATGTATTACTACTCTATTGACAAGCAAATATAATATGGTACAATTAAGCCATAAAACTGTCTGGTGATTTTTGTGTATTAATGTATATGTTTAATCAAAGTTTCTTTAATTATTTATATACATGTGAGAAAATTAAAATGTAAATACAGTAATTTTGGTCATGTCCCCTAGGGTCAGCTGTGCTTAAAGGACCTGCCCAGCATAGCCGCCGTCTGTTGGTTGTGCTGTCTCCTTCAATTCTACACGACAGTTGGACAAGTGCTGCTCTCTATGAGGCTCTTCATGCTTTACTTACAATCCATAACAAGATTATTTGCATAGCACTGCAGGTACAGACATTAGATATTACAGTGCATTTTGATATATTAAATTATGTTGTTACCAACATATAGACGGAAATCAGATTTCCTGTGTCATTCATTTATTTATTTTCTTGTTTATATTTTTAACTACTTTACCTTGTAATAAAAATATTATACAGATGAACATATAAATCACTAAGTAACTGTTACCATCCTCATGCATAGTGAGAAATGGTGACACAAAATATTAATAGTTCTTGCATTCATAATGATCTTAGAAGAAAAAATTCACAGCATATTTTCCCATTATACTAGAACAGAAATTTTGTTAGAGTGATTCCTACAATTTAGAGGTCCTGGAACAATTGATAAATGCTCTGGGAGATGTAGAGGGAAATGCATTACAAATGTAAATACATTGTGAGTAAGATATCTTGAATCTTGAAGCTGGAGTCAATTGATCAGAGTTCATTAATTTTTATGATCAGGGGGTGGCCAGCTTTTTATGCCCTTGAATGTACATGGTATTGATGAATTTAGCCAGTTTGAATGCATATCGTTGCGCAATTCAAGAAACATAGTTTTGACAGAACTGAAATATATTGAAAAATTGCATTTATCATTACATTTCGAGACATCTATTTGATTCATGTCTGAGAAGATCTTATTTCAGAAATATAAATATAGATTGGAATATAATATTAAAATAGATGTTGAGGGAAAAGGTCACAGTGATGTGGATTTGATGGAAGTGATTTGGGACAGAATCTAGTAAATGCAGAATTGAAGGTAATTATTAGTGGGTATTATAATGATCTTTAGAGACACCCATTTTTCTCATAATTTCATACTTTTGTTCAGAAAGATTTTAGTACTTTATGACTGGTTAGTATTAAATAAGAAACACTAATCACTAAACTGTTACCAGCTCAGGTGTATGAAATAGTTGTTTTGGTGCCCTTCAGCCTCTACCAAAATGTGACCCAACAAAGAATGCTCAAGGTGAGAGCCTTTCTACCCTACTGCATGCAGTTCATTTGGTGGAGTGGAGGTCAGAGGGATACTGTGTGGGTATGGGGGATAGAAGTCGAGAACACAAAAGGTTCTGGGCCTCAGTTCGCCTCCATCTGCCCCCACACAGGTATAGTAGACAGGCAGTAAGTCTTAAACAGGTTAGTATTTTTAATTATTATGACTTCTTTCCTTATTTCACAAGGAAAGGTATACATATGGTACATATTAATATGGTCATATGTCTGTCTGGTCCTCAAGAAATCTTTCAAACATTTGTTAGGTTCTTTATGAAATGTAATTGATATGAGCTTCATTCCACAAGATCTCTCTCTGCATTTGTACTTTGAATTTTTTTGGCATTGGTAATGCAAACAAATGATTAGATGAACTTTTGAGTTGGGGGTGTTGCTGGGACCAGTAATATAGTATACAAAATTTGATTTGGTAACAGATCTTTTAAATACGAAACTACATTTGAAATCATATTTTTGTGTAATATAAAACAACATCTGTACTTAGCTTTATGTTTGATGGTGAAAATGAACCGTTTGAGACAGATACATGAAATGTTATAGTGATGGAGCACAAACTTACATACAGATTTTTATGAATCATTTTTCTTATGTTAAAAATTATGAACTTGGTGACAGCATGAGACTATGAGATTGTATTTAGCAAATATGTATGATCTGTACTAGTAACACTTATAAACACAACTGGATCATGAAAGTGTACAAATATTAATTCAAATTTTTACTCTACTTATCAAAGATAATAAAGCATTTAAATGAAAGTTAGCATCATAATTTTCCCCCAGAACTTATTACTGTCTGGGATAAACTCATACAAGTACAGGAAGAACAATTACAAAAAGAAGCACCCCTGATAAGCGATAAAGAATACAAGTGTTGGTTTCATTTATTAGGAGCTGAACCAAATGTCAGTGGCAACTACTGGTAGCAGAGTCAATGTATGTACTGCTGTTGGGACCAGCAAACGAGGAACAGTGCTTACAAATTCACATGAGAGTCTGGAGGTCCTAGTGTGAAAGATTATCAGTTTCCTTGGAGAAGACTGGGCCAGTATATCTCATTATTTTTGTTACTTCCTCAACAGAACATCTTGTAAAACAAATAAAATTAAATGTGCATCATTATTAATAAAATATGTTTCAATATATGCCAAATATATATTATTTAGCTCTTCTAGCATTAAAAGGACAGCTTCAGTACCGAATTAATTTAATATTTAAGAATCCTAATGTGACAGGTACTTGAAGGCCTAGATCAGTTTTGCTTATCATTTATCCCACAATGTCCAATTAGCTTAATTGGTACTCTTCATTTAGTTTTTTTTTAATTTAAAATTCTGTATTCACAGAAAAATTTTTACTTACATTTAGTAGGGTGTATATATTAGGTATAACAGATGTCCAAAGACAAATAGTAGCATTTATTGAATTTATAGTGGTATTCTAGCTGAGCCTATGACTTCCATCATGTTTATAAGTAGATACGAATAGTGTAATAATCTGCTGAATATTTGTGTTATAGCATAGACTCATATAGGTAACTGTAGTGGGGTATAAACCCTCACTGATATGCTTAAGTGTGTTGTATTACTTCATATTGATCTTCGAACTGTAAAAAAGCTATATTTCTTTTCTATGTTGTGATAAGGTGAAGATGTTTGACTTTCCCATCTACAAAATGGGAAAGGAAGTGTGGTAGGTGGTGAAACATGAAAAAGAGACAATCTCATAATTCCTACAATGTGTTAATGACATATTTTGAGGCAAGACTGTGTACTAAAATAATTTTGTGTAATAAAAAGAGGTCTTTTTAACCATATGTGGCACAGCCGCAAAGGTGTTCTCAGTAGTAATATGTCTTTAATAGAACTATGAATATCTTTTTTATCTGTCATATGACTTTTCATGACTAATGTACAGTTCATGATGTTACATCTCTTCATTGGTTTATTTGAATCCTAGTTGTAAAAAATAAATGGATTAAAATATAAATGAGAAAGAAGTAAGAAAATTAAAAATTAGCAAATAAAATACTTTTTTGGTAGATAATGAGACTCCTGCTTTCAATTAGGATAAAATATTTCACTCAACCAGAGGAAATATTTCCTCTGGTTGAATATGCCTGGTTTCCTATAATCATTCTGTCTACAGTGAAATACTTTTTAACAGAATTATGAATTTTGTAAGTGAATTTATGCTAATAATGGGTTTATAACACCCAAACTTCTGGGATTCTAACATTTACTATTCTGAGACTGACACCGACACTGTCAGCTTCCAGATAAAATATGTAGAATAGAATGTGTATTAAAAGAGAAAAAGATGTTACCTAATATCATTGCATTACATTACAAAAGCTAATAAGAAGTTATTTTACAAAATATCAAGTTATACTATCACAGATTTTGGCTGTTAAAAGTAACATTTGTGGTCTCAAAGATTATATTATTTAGTTATTTTAACATGTTGCATATTGGCCTATTTTGAAATGTAAGTGGCCCAGTTGCCAAAAATGTAATGTATTATACTGAGCAGAATAATGCTTTTATTTATGCTTACTTTTGGTTGACAGATTCAGTCGTTTTATGGACTGTTGGTGAATTATGTGGTCAAAGCTTTCAAAACGTGAAGCCTTATGCAGAGTGACTGATCAAAACTGAACACAGCTACTACCAATAGTTTGTGAACTATCATTAGGTCAGTATTACTAAATTCCTAGTCTTTGTGCATTATCTGATATTTTAAAATAATTAATCATTTCACAAAGTGGATGTGTTTCCATCATCAGGTAAAAATGGCAGGAGTACCTACTCGGCTGGGTCCCTTTATGAATATTAGACAATGGATCAATTTCAGTAATCCAGTAATACTGATTATAATATTCCAATGTCAGAACCTTTTAGTATTGATTTATTATCATCAGGTTCTTTCTCTGAAATATTTGATATGTCAGCATAAACTTGTGCAGTAATTCTTTGATGTCAGCCCTGCACTCAGTCTGTTTTGTGCTGTCAGTGATCATGTAGAGTAGAGCAAGAACTGTCACAATTGTAAGCATTCATTTTGGAGATGCCAGAATGCATATGAGTTAACGTTTAGTTTGTATGATTTATCAAAGGAAGTTAATGTTCTAAATAATTAAATATTTGTCAGCTGATCTTCCCTCACTAAACTTAGGATGACCGAAATTGGATGTAGCGCGGAAGAGTGGCCTCACATGACCTAAACTGTGCATATGCATAAAAAAAGATATTCTCCCTGACCAATATGCTATGCATAGTCACCATTGTGATCTGTATGCAACATGTTAAGTTGATGTCCAAGTCATTTCCTTCATACTGATTATGCATATTGCATATGATAAAACAACTTTGACGTTCTGATACTTTGTCAGACTCAGTACACTAAAACATACTAAACTGTGTTAAGCTACACTGCATAATGAAATGTGTGTTTAACCTATCTGTTGAACTCAGGCTTTAATGATGCAACTGTTGGCTTTTAAGTTAAATTCAGAGGTTCAAGTTCTAAAAGAACCTGTATTCAGTAACTTTCATGTTCTAAAAATATAATGTCAATAATAAAACTTGTAAAATTTTTAATATTACACATTTACGTATATATTGCTACACAGTGTAGTTTTATAAACAAATATTTCTATGTTCCATGGAGTAAACAGGGTTTAAAACTCTCGATGATTTCATGACTTGAAACAAGACACGCCACATTTTCAGGAGGAAATAATTTTATGTGATACATAACGGTGTTTCCCAACCTTTTCTCAACTTCTGCAGGTCCACAAATTGTGTTTCTTCTGAAATAATTAAATACAGAATAGGGAGGAGGGAAATATTTCACATAGGATGAAAAGAGTGGCATAAGAATTGGTATACAATATGCTAATTTACAGACATGACAGAATTTGTTTTATTCTGGAGTAGTAACTTGTTTTATTGTTGTGGGTTTTAACTGAATCCTCAGTAATGTGCCGGCACAGTTTGTAAGAGACATGAGTATTAAGTGCACATGAGCAGGGTGAGCCCAGTCAGTATAAAAACTGGGCTATTGGTTGGATGACCATGATTCAATTCCTGGCAGGCCTTTCAACCAATGAGTACTGGGGACCCTTTTCCAGGAGGTGAAGTGGAATTAGCTGGGATAAGAAGCTGACTGCTCATATCTACCTAGTGTTAAGAATGTGTTGCATTATGTGTCTACTTCCCCATATGTCTCCATGTTGTGGTGTTTAATTAAATACCAGTGAAAACTTTAACTTTATCTAGAAAGAGCAGTCTGCTCTGAAAATAATAAAAGCAGACATTAGTAAATAATGTGTCAAAAAAAATTATTTCTTCATCCTTTGAATCGCAAGGAGAGACTGGTAGGTTAGCTGACACAATATGATTAATATGTATTCAGGAACTCCTTTATTAAAATTTTGGCTGATGCACTGACTATCTTGATTTAGGTACTGTCATAGAACTATGTCCTTTGGATAAATGTCAGTATAGTACCATAAAATATGCCATACCAACTTCCTTCCCAGTTCTTTTGATACTCTCTGCAATTGATATAACATAATTGAATAACCAACAGAACTACCATGGCAGAAGTGAGGATTATGGGATTTAAGGAAATTTTGTGAGTTATAGCAGTATACACTATTGTAGTCTTCACATGGTATATTTGTACTTTATAATTAACATCCCTTTCCACTCCGCCCCCCCTTTTTCTAACCAAATTCATGTTTTTTTTATGTGTATATAAAATAAACTTAGTTATGCAGGTCAACAGTGAGAAAGCTAACAAACAGTTCAAAAATGTGATTATATGAACTTATACATATTTTATAAAACAAGTAAATTAAGAGTTGCTCGTTACAATCACTGGCTCCCTAAAATAGAATAATTTTTGTGGCTATATAAATCCATTTTAAATTGTTTAAATTTCTTTACAACAACGTTTCTTATATTGCAGTCTGTTTTAACTGTTCTGTCTGCAGATACTGCAGTTTGAACCAGTGACTGTCATTAGGATGCTTAACACTAACCTGTTAGTCTACTGACTTCCCCATTTGAGAGGTTGCTGCTTGGTGCAAATGTACATGTTGCACTCCCTGGTTGCTCCATTGTTAACTATGTACCATGTAATATATTGTGTGAGGAGAAACCGTAAAAGCAACACAGGTAATTGCACAAGGAAAGATGTACAATTGGTAGATGGTTGATAGGCTGAAGTGATACCATTTGTAATTTGTCAGGACACATTATTCAGTTAATTATTAACCTGCCTTTTTTGTAGTCATACTTATTATAAATTAACTATTCACTGAATAAAAGACTGTTACATTACATAATACACCAGTTTTCTCATGCAGAAAACATCTTTTTAGACATGAAGGAAATAATGTTTTTTATGGAAAAATGCATTAATTCATCCACAGATAGTTGAGAAGTTGCTGTCTTTGTACTTGTTATAGTTACAAACACATCAGATAGTTTTTATGTAATTAGTTTCCATGAAATTAAATGTATAAATCGTGGGATCATATAGAATTATACTCATAGTTTTTGTGTTTAGTCTTTTTGCATTTATAAGTGGTAGAAAAATGTGTTTAATCATGAATATACTGTGACATTTTATTACAGTGAGCTTTATACCTAAAATGTGTATGTTATTGTTTTCCTATACACAAGTGGTCAAGTGACTGTACTGTTTCATGCACAAGTTTCTGTGAACAATTTGTGAATAGGTGTGTTGAAAAAGTCTTTCAACTTATTACTACAAAACTGTTAACTGATTCTACTTCTGACCAAGAAACTACATGAATGTTTGTGTACATCTAAAGTGTAACTCATGAAACACTTATTTAATCAAAACATGTTTTGAACACATTATACCCAGCACGTTTTTTCAAAAAGTCTTATGGTTTTCAAGGTAATTAAACAAAAGAGGTTTTTATGTCTGTTATTTCATAACTTAAGAACAATTAGACTGATTTAGGAGGCCCTTGCTTTTTCACCACACCTGATGTATGCAACAAACGTTAGCATCCATTAATTGAAAATATAGAGACAAAATCAGAGCTAATTTGCTAGGACTATTACAGTACACATACTTTTCTTAATTCTGTGTTATTTATATGTGTATTTTCTATTCCATATTCTTGCATTCATTTCATACATCATAATTATGGATTATAGTCTTATAGTAAATAAAATCCATTCCCTCTGTTGTTACATACATATATATTTTGTGTTTTGTACTGCATTGTCACTTTTTAAATAATATTTCATAAACAGAAAAAACATTAATGGAATGACCTTAAGAATTATTTTGTCACACACATTGTCATAAATGATAGAATAAGTAACAAACCAAAACAAACTGAATGAGCTTACAGATAAAGCCTTAATATAAAACACAGAATGTTACAGCTATTTACTGATCATAGTAATTGCTTTTACATTATTTTATAAGTTTTACTTGCCATTAGAGACAGGGTATAATTTTAGAAACAGTATATTCTGTTTAATTGTTAAGGTTGTATATGACTGACATAAACATCTCCAGAATTCACCAACTTCAAATGTATTTATCTGCTTCCACCAAATGACAGTCTCCAAGAATCAGAAGGTATTTTAACATTTTACTGACGCAATATTTTAGTTTATCTCTCTCAGGCCATTGCTGTAATTGAGTTTTGCTAAGATATGACAACACATTCCAAGGAAAACCTCAAATCCTACAACACATTCCAACTTTGATTAAAAATAGAACAGCACTGACAGACATTTTACATGCATGTAGAAGCATGGGTGGGGAATCAATGTAAAATGCCAATCCAGCCAAGCAGCCACATGGGGAATCCCAAGCCAGTTGCACAGCCATGTTGGGAATAATTGGAAAATCTACATGAAGTTCATATTAACAAGTTTATGTTCATCAAATATTATTTTTACCCCTGAAGTTTATTTGGTATTAAACTTAGTCTTTATAAAGTTGATGGATTTTGGAAATAATGAAAACTGTATAAAAATTAATGTACTGAATAGTAAATATTTCAGTTTTTACTTTACAGGCAAGTAAGTGGAAAGGTCATGGTGGCACATACACAGTATAAATTTTGTCATATGGCTATTGTAAAAACACTTCCTGAGCCTGGTACTTGTTAATAAGTTATATATTCATAGGTTAAGGGTTACAGACATACCTACTGGTAATGAAAAACTATGCCAGTTATAATATTGGCAATGTTCCAGAAGTTATGTGTGATAATGTTTCTTTAATATCATAGGCGTGTTCTCTGAAACACAGGAAGTGTAAAAAATGTAAATCACTAAAGAAATGGTAAGTCTTGCAGAAATTCATCACATATTTTATTGTAATGTATCATTTGTGCATTAACTTTCTGTAGTTCAAAGATCACATCTATGGATGTAATTTAATTTAACATTAATTTCATAGCTTAGAGTAATTATGACACATGTTGACTCAACACTGCATTTAATCAGTTATTTGTTTTTCCATTTAGGTATTGTATAAACATTTTTAAATCATGTTTTCATAGTGTGTGGAAATGTTTTGAATGTGCATAAATGATTATGAGTGTACATATTAATTGAAATAAAGAATAACACAGATCTTTGAAAAATACTGTTATCTTGTTACATTAATCATGAGGGGAATTACATCATAAAACATTAATCAGTACCTCAGTTTTTTATTGATATTCAACACATTTTTGTGTCAAAATTTATTTCCTAATTTTATTGAGTTTCCACAGGATTTTAGAATCTTAAAAAATTCTGTCATTTAGATCAGTGTTTCTCAATGTGGAAGCTGCATCTTCCCAGTCTGTTGTGAATGGTTTGTCAGTGGGGCTAATGACCTAATTATATAATACATATAAATTTCTAAGAAAGGGCCACATTAAATTACAAACATACAATTTCATAGAACAAGTACTGCATATAATTATGACTCATTAACAACAAAATTTTGAAATTGCTACAAAATTTTTTAAGTTATTCCCTTGGTTGAGAATGGGTGGACTCATATCAAGGAAGAATGAGATCAAAGGAGTTGGGAAACCATTGGCCTGATAGGCAATAAACTTTCTTGATTGAAGAGAAATTTGTGCTTCATATGGTGGCTGCATTGTCAATATGCTGTTCCCTCTCTTTTTCATTCATTAGTAGTTCAAATCTGAAGCTGTTGCATTGCTTGTGTTGATGGTTTACCTATATGATAAATTTGTGAACCTTTTTTTAAATTTACATTTTTTAGCATGTGTAAGTTTGGCTTCTGTGTTTCATCTTTTCAAGAAAACGATTCAGTTTCTATCTTCAACATGTGTTCCCCATTAACTCTCACAAAGTAAGTACTCAACATAAAATATTTAATTTTTAAATACTCTTCACCTTAGAGTGATAACATAATGCATCTACAATTAAATATGTATGTGTATTAAACTTTTCTATAATAAGTATTATAAGTAAAATAATTGGCATGTATAGAAAAGCAGAGAACTTAGGATATAAAAATCTTTTAATTTTTTATCTGTTAGCTTAATATAGATAATTAGTCAAGAAGGTTTATAACAATAACTATGAAACTTTGGAATTAATGTCTCATAGAACCTGAGAGAATGGGTCATAAAGCAAACAAATATAACAATGTCATATTAGGTAATTCTTGACTCCCCTTAACATTATTATGCCTGTAATTTTAAAAGACATACTTGTGTGCATGATTGCCAACTTTTCAAAATTTCAGGGGCTGCTTAGGTATGTTACAAAACCACCCAGTAGACAATCTCAAAAGTTTTAAAACAGCTGATGACACGGAGTTGGCACCAAGAACACAAGAAATGAATGGAGTGGAATTACAGTATGATTACTCACTTCTACCATTCTTGAATTCCAATATTCTTTTTGTCAGAACAAAACTAATTACATACAACTCAACCAGCTTCCCCACCCATCAAAAATGCAGAGATGGGAAGCATTATAGAAAAATGTAAACATGAAAAAAAAAAAAAGCATTTTCTAAGCCCAAATTAATACATTCCTACGTTGATTAAAAAGATAATTATTGGAAGTTGCTTAAAGGTACAAATGAAAGTAAGGTAAATTCAGGGAGTGCTTAGCACCCCAACATCATTCAATGGGTATACAAGTTGCAGAGCATCCACATAGTCAGCACCCATACTCCTGTGAGAATTTTGACTCAGTAAGGTACATAAGAGAATATTTTGTTATGTGGTGTGTCATAAGTACAAAGATTTACTGTGTAAGCTCAATACTTAATATACACTTGACATGCAGTACCGTACTCTTTGCTCACCAGGTAGGAATACAGGAAGGAATCCTCAAAGGTAACTGCTACTATGAAATATATGTATTGGCCAGGATTATATGTATATGTCTGTCTACATGATATATAAGTTTTTACAGTAGTGAAAATCTAGTTTGTTGTCTTCTGGGTTATGAGGCTGTACAATCTTGTAGGTGATTACCAACATTTTAGAAGAAGTTATCATCTTCAAAAATAGGAGGTTAGAAAATTACAGCTCCCTAACCAATAAGCCCACAAACGAAAAATATGTATTTATTTTGTAGGTCATTCATTTTTAAGATATTTAGCCCCTAAACATTTTAAACATTTCAATGTATAATTTGAATGGTTTTCTCCATGTTTTAATTTACAGTTTGTAGTCTTCCCATAGTATTCTTTTGATGATAGGAAAAATCAGATTGGTGACATTAGAGGGATTCAAGCAACTACTTAGAGTGTTGGTTAGAAAACCCACTATAAGATACCACTTGGGAAACTTGAGTAGAGATTAGAAAGTAATATTAAAATGGATCTTAGAGAAACAGTTTATGATCTAAAGTGGATTGAAGTAACAGGATAAAATACTATGGCAGACTTTTTTAATGTCTGTGGAACATTTGGGTTCCATGCCAACAAAGAATTTTATCATCATATAAATAACTCTTAGCTGCTGAAGGAGATTTGTATATAGTGAATAATATCTGTCAGTACAGAATGTGATAATCTTGATTCCTTGCTCTTTAAATCTAAAAATCCTTCTCCATTACAGTGTACCACCACAGAAAGAATTATTAAAATATAATTAAATGTTGTCTGTATCACTGTAATGAAGAACAAAACATATGAATAAACATATTTGTGCCAGTCACTTGATATGTCTTGTGGTTTCTTATATGAAACATCATACTGTTATATTTCCCATATAAATTTAACATAAAGTTTGGCATTATTCTTGCATGCAAAATTCAGTCTGTATGGTCTTCATTTAGAGTTGATTGTGCTAAACATTTCAAGAAACTCTCTTTATATTTGTGGGTCTCTTTGGTGGTAAGTTTATTCGTAATGATGTCCAAAACCTTTTAGAACCTGGATGTATTCTAGTATCAGTATGTTTAACGGAATTAATAATGTTCTCCTTAGATCCATCAAGAACAGCACTTGAGAGTGACTCCTCTGAATTTCCACAGTTTGAATCTGATAAATTTGAAGTATGTAGTTTGTGTTTCTGAGAAGTACACATTTTCAGCAGAGGATGCGGCCTTTCTATTACTGCAGGTTGCCACTGAACTTTCTTCACGACTCTCAATACATGTTGCAGTGTGTGATCACTGGTCCCATTGGTTTGTTTAAAATTCTTCCAGGGAATGTCCTAAAAGGGAAATAAATCACAGTTCAACAATAAATATGCCTCTTTCATATGGACTAATCAGGGGACTGAGCATACCACAGCTGCATATGACTTGCTGATGTATTTTCTGCAGCCTGCATACATTTTTGTAATATTATATTACTCTACATAATGAAAAGAGGTCCACAGTGGCCACGCAGTCTGGGGTGTGGGCCTTGTGCCGCTTGGTGGCTGGGACTGTGGGTTCGAATCCCACTCAAGGCATGGATGTTTGTCCGTGTTTTTCTGTGTTTTGCTGTCCTGTGTTCAGGTAGAGGCCTTGCGACGGGCTGATCCCTCGTCCAAGGAGTCCTACTGAATGTCTATAGATCGAGCCAATGAAAAGTTGGGACCCGCAGTGCTCAGGCACTTAAGGAACGGGTCTATCCCAGTATATAATGAAAAAAAAATTACTGACTAAATTAAGTAGTTAATTTAAAGTGAATAATTTATAAAAATAAAAAATCAGTGAATTTTTCAAGAACATTGTTTATAGTAATATGTGAAACTGTCTGTGATAGTAAATTAGTAGCAATTATATCAAGAATGTTTAGATGTGTGGGACATGTAGCACACATAGCAGAAATAAGAAATATTCAGAATATTTTTTCAGAAAATCTGAAAGGAAGAGCACTTGACAAAAGTAAGTAGTTAAGCAGTAGTAGTAAAGCACAGTTGGGAGGATAATATTGAGCTGGATCTGAGGGAAATAGTGTGTGATTATATGAACTGGATTCATGTGGCTCAGTGTGGATCCAGTGACAGGTCTTGTAAACAGAGAAAAGAACCTTTAGGTATCATAAAAGGTGAGTAATTTCTTCAACTCCTGAAGAAATACTCTAAACCCATTATTCATATCTCACATTATTTCTCAGTATATTGCAGGTATATTGTACAGTAAAACCCCTCTAGTTGGACACCCCTATATCCTGGACACCCCTCTATATTGGACACTTTTAATTGGAACCGGCGAATATCCTATAATTTTACATGTCCACAACACCCTATATCTTGGACACCCCTTTATCCTGGAACTTGAACACCCCTTTTGTTGTAAGTTGGACAGGTTCATGCACTTAGCTTCAATGCTTTTATGGGAAACGTTTACAGTTAGTATTTTGTTGCTTTGAATTTATGACTTATGAATGCCTTCTACCTGAGGATTACCTTATGGTTGAAGGTGTGAGACTTTGAACACATCAATGGAATAATTTTGTTGAACCCTTCACTGGACTACAGTACGTATTACTGGTACAGTTTTAACTTTGTCAGTACTGAGCTTGCAGCTGAGTTAAACAGAAATTGGAACGGTGTGCTTTCGTTCATAACCAACAAGGAATGTTTGAAACTTTATTCGAATTGCGGCAAAAATTAGAAAGAGGATGGACAAATTCAAAGATAAAATCAAAAAAGCAGTGTTTTGTGACGGACTTTTTTACAAGAAATAAGTGACATCATATGTTGAGCTAATGCCTTAAGTACAATTAAAAAGAATACATTCTGAACATTTAAAATTTCATTGAGGCCGGGGTGTAATGTGCAACCACGAGAGTGGGTTTCAAAAGATTATTATAATTAATAATTATTCTTAATTCGAGCAAGCCTACAGTAGTTAGATTATGTAAGTAAACAGATTGCATTGTCGGTAAACGTAAAGTATCAGTGCCCTTCCCTTTGAGCTTATCCATGCAAGTTTAATTTAGTGAAAACAAAATTTGTAAAAATTTAATTTACCTTTTTGATTTTTCTTATCAATAATTTCCTTGTTGGGAAGGGCTCCATAATACTCAACAATTACCATATTGTCATTACACGACAATTTGAAAGGATGATTTTCCCCTTTCCCTCTATCCTGGACACCCCTGTAAGTTGGACACATTATCGTGGAACCGCAAGTGTCCAAGTTAGAGAGGTTTTACTGTAGTATATACTGCTTTTCTTGGAAATTCTTTGAAGCTGCTTATGACAATTCAAATACATTAGCAAAATTCCGAAAGCTTGAATATGTGCTTTTAAAGATCAAGATGTGTTGCCACTGTATTTTTTTAACAAAAATTGTGCTGGAGACAACAAAATACTTTTCATTGCTCTGCCATAAAAACTAGTGTAATAAAAACTAAAAATTGATTAAAATATTTGTCATGCTCCATCCTAGTCCTTATCTAAATTTATGATACCAGATTTAATTTCTGCAGCATTCAGTAATAAAACTATCAGTGTAATTATTAAAAGTGGTGAAAAAGTGATATTATAAATTTAAGTAATACTGGATTCAATTATGGTACTAAACATTTCCATTTGATGTTGTACAATGTTAATTAATTAGTCCATGTTGAAGGAGTGGTTGTAATGTGACAAATTTAAAACACAGAAAGAACTGAGCTGTTAATTACTGAAAAACTGAGTGTTTAAATGCAATAAACTGACAATTTTGGGTAAAACCTCATTAGTTCAAAGGAGAAAGGGAGAAGGGTAGTCTGAATTTGGTGATAATCTAGATTTGCAAGGCAAGCAGCATATTATAATCGTGAATGAAAAAATACTTAATAATAATTATTAAAATACTGCAGTAGAATATTTAACCGTAATTTTACCATAATACTGCAGACATTTTTCTTTTCCATTCCAGTGCTATTAGATGCCATTATTCACAATCACAGCACTTTTGGAGGTGTAATGATTAATGTCTGAAAGAGAATTTATGAGTGTGCATGATTGCATGACTGCTAACAAACTACTGAAGAAATGGAAGGAGGCACAGTAGTAGCCTAGAGGTGATTTAAAAGTGTTACATGATATTTTTGACTACCAAGATAACTATTTTTGTTTACTAAAATAAAACCATAAAGACTCATATCCATGATTTAACACTTAAATAATAATACCAAACCTGCAGTACAACACAGATGATCTTGGAATGGAGATTCAGCATTGCTTCAATAGCTACATACAAAGCATATGTGCACCAACTATTAATGGCCAGTGCTGGTGAGAGAACCATTAAAAAACGTCTACTTGACCTGATCTTCATTGTATATATCTCTGGAATCCCTGAAACAAGAACCTCTTTATAATTTTAGTTCCTATGAAATTATATATTAGACTGAAATGGGCCACTAGGTACAAGACATGAAAGACTGGTGATGATGAAATAACATTTGCATTTACAAAATTTTCTTAAATTCAGCATTCTTAAATGTAATAGAAATATTTATAAAATTGTCTGATTTATTTGTACTTACAATCTCCAGCAACACTATCTCGTTCATAGACAAAACACCGATAGTGATAACATTTTTCCAGAGTGTGAACTAAAACTCCAAGAGCAAATTCTGTGTCTGTCTGGTCATAGCATACAAAAACATCATATTCTTTGTTATCTGAAAATAGATAAATTAAATGTGTAATTTTAAAGTCTGAAAAATTAACAAGAAGGATGCTTAATTTTCAGTTTTGTAATAATGAACATGAGCTTCATGAAAAGTAGGGGTAACACTGGACTGATATATGCCAGAACTAAGGTTGATTTGACAAGTTTTAGTTTTCATCTTCAATTCCCAATTTTATCAAAATTTATTTAGGAACTAAAGAGAAATGGCACATGTACAAGAATACACTGCCTCTCTAATATGCTTTGAGTTCATGCATTTTCTTTAGAAACATATAGTAAGAGGTATTTTACATCCAAATATATGTTTGTTTATATTACCATCTTCAAGTTTTCCAAAGTGGTCCTTCCAAAACAGATGTAACTCAAGATGCCACCTCATGTATACACCAATCAGCAGAACAACACTACATGTGAATACAGAGATAATAACCACGGTAGCTTTATATGATGTACGAATTTTCATTGTTGGATTATCTGTAACATGCCAATAAGAACATGTAGTGCAATTGAAATCCACTTTAATGCATCTTATAATGTAACTTACAGCATTAGAATTTCGGGGTAAGGAGTACAGTAGCATAAATTCTAAATTGTATTTGTCAAATGTTGACAGATTGAAAGTATAAACTATTTCCACTCATTTTCATTTTTATTCACAACTTTGGGATAGAAAAAGAATTCCCCCATACACAGGATGATTCAAAAGTGTTTGTACACCTCTAAGAACATAAATATATTTCTCATTGTGAACTTAATTTCACACCATGATACAAATGGTTGAAGAAAAGGAGCAGTCAAGGTACAGAGAGCACATATCTTTATAAAAGTCCAACAAACTTACCACCTTCTATGAGTGTCACATTGAACACTTTTGGACTACCTCCATTGCTTATTGTACATTTGTATGTACCAAAATCTTCTTTAGTTACAGTTTTAAAAATCAGATACTCTCCAATTATTAGATCTTCAGCCCTTGAAACAGAATTAAATTCACATAAACTTATATTCTCTGGAATGGTATCGCAAGACACTATACTTCATGTAAGTTAAGAAAACCTTTTTGCCAGATTACATTCATGTAACCCAAGTATTTTTCTGTCATTAATATCATCACAAGAATAAAGCTGGTGATAACAAAGAAACAAAATCCTTTTATGGTTATAAAGGACCTTTATATTAGTTGAAAGCTGTCAAAATATGTTCTCAGCTTTACAACTAACTGAATTATGTAACCAAAGCAGATTCTGCTAGATAAAAGACATAAAATCAACCTCTCAGCTGCCCCATGTATAAAATATTTGAAGGGACTAAACTTATAAATTCTTGTTGGTAAATGTCTTTCCTTCCCATCTGTCCCAATTTTCTGAACTGCTCCCAGCAAGTCTTAGATCTTTAGCTGTGTAGTTATGAATATATATTGAAAAACTTTCAATGTTGGTTGAATTTTATTGTTAACATACAAAAGCAACTTTTCTGAATCTTCAGCTATTTTAAAAGCATATAATTACTTCTTAAACAATGGATCAATTTCAGGCAGTGCAGAATTGTTATAAAACTTATGTTTATTAGAAGTCCTCTGAGTCCTGTAAAAATATACACTCTCCATTTTCATGGCTATAACCCATAAAAACAACCATCATCATCCTCATTACTGTGAAAACCTCAAATCTTCCAAGACAGTTTTTACCTAACTGGGTAACTATCAACTTTTCAAGAAAGTTCCTTCACCATGGAGTCAGTTGTTAGATTAGTTTTATTCCAGATATGTTTAAAGTTTTATCAGCAAGTGTGAAGTATCAGTGTAATTTTACATTGTTTGACCGTAAATTATGTTTGCAGTTCATAAATTACACTATAAGCTGCATACCTGGCAACGCTCTTTGTATATCTGCGTTTATCAGATGTATCTGGAAACGTATTTGTTTTATCCATCACCCATGCAACTTGGCTGTTATGCTTCTTTCCATGTCCTAGAAAAGAGCTGTCATTCACTTAGATTTTATTCACATATCTTTATAATAATTGAAGTAAATTTAGAAATCATATGAATATTCTGCTAAACAGGATTGGCTTTGAACCAGAGATTTTGTCTTGTATTGAGAAAGTTCCTGGTTTGATTCTTGGCTGATGTCATCAAACAAACTCAGAATTTTCTTATTTCTCCTCTATCTCAAGGGAAATACTGGGACAAGAGGCCATGACTTTCTTCATAGCAGAAGTTCCATACATCTCACTCTACTCTCTTATAAAATCTTGTGACTATTGTATTGATCCAATCTCAAAATATAGCTGCCACATTAAAATTTACATTATTTTATCTTCCCAAAACATATTATATTATTATATCTCACTCAGTGTAAAAAAAAGTTAAGCAGTCCCACTACATGCCATGTAGGTTTCTTGGGGGGAGAGGAGGTATAGCTCTTACTCATTCTTGACCTCGGCACTAGATGGGGGTGAGTGGTCAGTATCATGCCCTGGCCACGCTTTTCCCCAGGGAAAGGACCCCTGTACCCATTGAATAGGAGGCTGGGTGGGCCCCAGAGCCAGTCTGGATGCATGGGTTAGAGGAAAAATCCTCTGCCCCTATCAGGGATCGAACCCCAGTCGTCCAGCCCATACCTAGTCACTATACTGACCGAACTATCCCAGCTTACTCTCGCTCTGCGTAAAACAAAAAATATTAAAGTTTGTGTCTATAATGAAGTCAGTTATTTTGGAGTTGATTGACACCCATGTAAGTTTCAAGGGTTGAATAAATTTATTATTCTCTGATTTTAATTAAGTCTGTTTGCAGATTTTTCGGAATATTCAGTCCAAACATCAAATGCTTAAAAAAATGAATATAAAGCACTATTCTTGAAACAATAAGCAGTGCTTACCTATAAATCCTTCACAGAAAAATCTTGCTGTTTCTCCTATCTGTGCGTATTGATAAGATTCAGTTACATATGTGAGCAAAGCTGGACCCATGTATGTTACTTCAGCTAATTAAACAAAAGAACAGTAATTTGCATTATTCACTATTTTTCACAAAATTTGTTAGCTAATTCCATGATAAAAGTTGTCAAATTACCAGTTTTTCTTGCTTTAACCCTTACACTGTTAAGAATGGAACATTTCTATCAAACATGCAGCTTTAATGTCAACTTTTGCGTCTAGAAATTCGACAGTAAAATAAGTAAATAAATGTAAGATATTAATGCCTTGTTATACAAACCATTTGAAAGTTAAAATATTATATACATGTAGAGTTATAAAACCCCACTTAATGGTACCTGCACCTTGTCGTGGTGGTGGGGCTTGAGTACCTCAGTAACCCCAAGAGCTAATGGCAGGGCCTCCCTAGCCAGATTGGTCGAGGGGGAGAGGTCAGACTAAAACAGGTACCCTGGTCCTCCAGGTTTGCGGGGTTGGTCGCAAGGCTAACAACCTTGCACCGTAAAAAGGAAGAGGAGAATTGAGGAGGCCATGGACCGAATACGGACCGGAGAGCCATAGAAGAAGAGTAATAACATGTTGCATGTGAGTGAAGGCTATGCACAGCTTAATGAAATAAGTTTGTTCTCTTGTTTTGAACATAAGACAACATTTCAGAACTATCAGAAGTCAGAGTTACTTACGCATAACTTTCAGCTGAATTTTACGCTGGATTTCATTAATGCCATCAGAAACTTTGCACGTATAAGTACCATTATCCAAATCTGTAACTCTAATTGAAATTAGAGTCTGATTTTGTTCCCGTAGTTCATGAAATGTAATATTTCTGTTACCAGCTGAAATTATATTACCATCTTTGTACCTGTAAAGTAAAATATTATGCATATTCACCAGTGAGACTAATAAACATTAAACAGAAGTGTTTAAGTAAACATACAAGTATATTAATGGTGGATAAAGACTGACCACGGAAGGCAACGCGAAACCATCGTGGTGCTTTCGCAAGAAAACCCCTAAAAGCTGTCATGATGGTCAAGCTTGACCATAGACGATGAAAAGTTAGATTTTGCATGTACCATGTCTTATTATTGAAACCTCTTAAAAAGATCGCGTGCTTGGGTATGGAAACTGAGTATTCTACAGTAGTGAAACCCCCTGCTCTGTCGGGAATCGAATCCCAGTCGTCCAGCACATTACCTAGTTACTGTCCTGAGTTACCTCCTCTCATATTTACACAGCTCAAAATAGGACGTGGAATGGCAGTAATTCTTCCAATCCAAAGTAAATCAGACTATGAATTCTGTATTACGTTATGGATTGTGAAGACTAAGAAACGTCCAATTATATGTTTTGCAGCACTGCAGACAATAAGCTAAACCTTAGTTCCCAGTCTGTGACGCGAATGCTTACATATTATCTAGCGCATGCTTGAAGATTACGTAAAAATGACCAGGATACTATCTATTATATTAACAGAAGAATTTCTATACACAATTTTTAGCAAGCACGAACTGTTTTGTTTTGTTTTGTTTTGTTTTATGTTTCAGAATTAAATTCTAGGCCTAATGTTTTAAAATTACAGCCAGTAGTGTAATTGCAGTTGGTACTTTGCCAAACGTGTCACAGCAGCGACAACCCCTGACCCTGTGATGAAATATCATCACTTTTACATATGTCCATTTTAACGTTTACTAGTAGGCACTTTTATTTTTTTCACAAAATAACGTAAATACCAGGAGGTTACAAGATTCTCAAAGATTGCTTTTACCCCACCGAACTTATCACACTCTTTAATTCATCACATTTATTGCTATGGTGTGTAAAATACTTGAAAAAGGACAGTTTGTAATCTTCGTTGTTTATGAAGTCCTCCAAATGTGACACTATAGTTTACCATTTGATCGTCTTGTAGCCTTTTGCACAACAGGACAAACTTTTGTAGCGCTCGATCACAACGTAATCAAACGTGTTGACTTCTTTTGTAAATTCGAGCGATGTTTTATTTTTTTCAAATAAATTCATCTCACAAAAACCTTTTTCATTCTCTGCATACATAACATGGTCTGTTAATATTAAGAGAACTAGCGTAAAAAGTACATGTGACAATTGTAATATACAGCCATTCATATTTCTTCTCACTTCCATCCTCAAGCTAACATGGCCGCAGCATTCGTTTCTCAGTCATCATGGAGAATTAACTACAACCAAAACACCACACGATTTACCCGGCACCATATCGCAATAGCTACTGCATATCTACGTCCGTTCTGATTTGTGATAAAGATGAACTTGCGGTTTTCCTAGGGACGTCATCGTGTGCAAAGCACGCGCTGTGCACTGAAGCGACTTCCTGGAATTCCGCCACTTTTAAAACAAAGCTTAGCTTTAGATGCCCTTGGCGTCTGCATTATTCATTACTCCAATAAAGTTTACCCCGCCTTCATTACACGGCCGCATTTTTAATTAAAACGAAAGTATACAGTAAGAGTGTAATTTTACTTCACAAAAAGACTCATCTCGTCCCTAATGCTTCATCAACTGAATATAACGACCCACTGAAATAAATCTATATTAAACTAACATACAGCTGTCATACTGCGGATTCTGGTTATTTATGTGTACGAACACATCAGTTGTTATGTACAGTCCACGACTGTAATCTTGAGACTTGCAAAGAATACAGGAAATCCGTAGCGTTAAAGGCAGACGCTAACTTTCCTCATTCCTCCTTTACCCCACTTCCTCACCCCGCAAGTCTCAAGATTACAGTCGTGGACTGTACGTGTTATTCATTCACATACAGTTAAAACAGCAGTTCACTTATGAATAAACTTTTTTACATTTTCTACAAAATATCCTTTCATTATTTGTTCGACATATACGTACCGAACGTCGCAGATGAATGGTTGGCACACCGTATTCAGGAGTTCCTGGTTGAAATCTCGACCCGGAAACTGGCTGTTTTGATATTTTAATTGTTTTCCCCCCAGGCATATGCCAGGAAATTGCTTTAAATTAGGCTACTACCTCTTCTTTCCATATCCTTTCCAATTCATTAACCCTGTCAATCGACGTTTTTTTTGTCTGAGCTACAGATAGCCTAAATTATCCACAATGAATTAAACAGATATCACGTTAGTATACTCTGTTTGGTTTTGTTCACTATGCGCTAGTGTTGCTCCCATTTCACAGGTTGGCACGGCTGTTATGTTTGCATTATTAACAGGTCGTTGTGCATACCAACCTGAAAAGATCTGACAAAACCGATCCTCCTTGAAAAAACACCCAAACAATATTAAGCGAGGGTTACACATTCACCTTTCGGTCTTTAAGGACGACACAAAATAAAGTCTAAACTGAACAATAAAAAGAATATCTCGAACTTCTGCTTCTCTTTCAGACTTTTTTCGTCGTTTATGGTCAGCTTGACCGCCGTGACCCCTTTTCGGGGTTCTCTTGCGAAAGTACCACGGTGGTTTCGCCTTGCCTTCTGTGGCCAGTCTTTACCCACCAAACTGGAAGAGGAGGCGTGGACAAACTTACATGCCTTGAGTTGGACTCGAACCCAAGGTCGCAGCGGCAAGGCGCACGACGTCCATGTCTCAGACCGCGTGGCTACTGCGCCGGCTCTTTCAGACTGAAACAGCATAAATCAGGATTGAGAATAAACAAAGGTAATCCTATTTCGGCATTGTGGTTAGTTGACAGTGATAAATCTCAAACGAAAATTGTGGCAGACTTCAACGTAGTAGGTTAGAGTTTATCAAGTATTTCGTATTTGGAAGATATCAATGATGCAAAGTTAAGAATAGTATAATATACATTTGTGCATTGTACAAGAAATTCTGGGAAGAAATTGAAATACATCATTCTTATTTATTATTAATGCAACTTTTAGAGCGGTTTCCGTTTTATATAGGTCTGTGGTTTAACGAGGTCTAAGGCCGGGCGCAAACGGAGCCACTAGTGGCTAAACACGACCACTAGCGGGATAAACAGTGGTCGGAGGCAGCCACAAGTAGCGATACAAGTCCACAATCGCAGCGAGTGGCCCGGTCGGACCACTACGAACGCCGTGTCTGCGCTGTCTATTAAAACTCCATACAAAATACACGCCACGGTGGTCTAGCGGTTAGAACGCTGGCCTTGTAAGCCTGGGGTCCCGGGTTCAATTCCCGGTGGTGCTCAAATTTATAACTTGTGTTGGGCAAGGCCGTGGTCTAGGCATCACGGAGTTTTCCTCCGGGGGCTTCCCCGGTTTCTCCGTAGCATCCCACAAAATACAGGTCGCAGCTTGTGGCGGCCACAAGTGGCTGTGGCTAGTGTCTCCGTTTGCGCCAAGCCTAGCAAACGTTTTATAAAAATGTAGGTATGTTTGTGATATATATCTGCGGAAAAATGTTACAATTTATGCAGTAAACATTCAGCAGCATTGAAACAGTCATTACGTATTACATTTTAGGGAGTAACATGAATCATGGGCAATTTCATAATTTGTACTCTTGACCATATATTACCTGCGGTAATCAAGTCAAGAAGGATGAATGGAATAGAATAAAATTTATTTACATTCTATAAATCCATCATAAGCCCAAGCCAAGGATGCAGAACATGTCACATTACAAATTAAATGGGAGTGGCATGTATTATACACGAGAGATTAAAAAATGTATACAACATTGTTGCAAAACTGGAAGGGGGGATATCACTGGAGAAATATAGCCGTAGTCGGGTGACCTTAAATTAGGCCACGATCGCTTCCTTCCACATCATATCCAATTAATTATTTACTAGCATTCGATGATATATAGTCTGAGCTCGTGTTAAAGCGTCGTTAGTAAACAATAAATAAACATAAATAGATATGGAAGTGTAGTTCGTACGACCATCATTTTATGTCAACATAATCTTGGCTGAAAGAAGCGACAGATTAACGTGAACAGGTTTGAGGAATACTGAACTAAAAAGCGAAGTCAGATTTAATATATTATTCCGATATACACTGTTTTAACTATAGTTACCACATATCACATGAAATCCAATCAGTGGGATTGCCGTGGGAAATCATTACTTATAGGTTGGTATAGCCTGTGTGTATGTGCGCTTTTATTTTCTGTTATTTTTGTTTTATTAATCCGTGCGTGGTGATCTGTTACTATTGTACCAGAGATTACCAGCATGGCTGTATTAGGGTGACAGGTGAGAGAGAAATATTGCAAAGGAATTTGTGTTCGAAGGTACGTGAAAGATGGATGGAGCAGCAAAAGTAAGTCACTAGCCAGTTTTACCAGTAATGTATGATTCTGTATGGGATGGACACATTCACATAATGTGAAATTATAGTGACCTTTTATACATTTTAATAAAATTGCTCCCGTTTATTTGTCGTATAAGGGGTTTCATTATTAAATAATATATGATAGAACAATTGAGGAAAAATAATATCTCACAAATGTTATGAATTTAACATCAAGAAGTACTCATGCAAAGAATAGTATACATTAGAACATTTTTTTGCTCTGCCTAATAATTAAATACCAGTTGATTTTAGTGTGAACCAGTGAGTATAGCACTTCTACCCCAATTTAAATTCTGTAACTTTTTGTTGAACTTTATTCATATATGATATACAGACCACTAATGTATCCCAGTCAAGTTGTGGTCTGATTCCAAATGGCAGTAGAAATTTTCAGTTTAAATTGAAAGTACATGCCAATGTGGAGACCACTTCCCTGTTAACACTGCCTGAAGTCAGGCTAATTAAAGCTAATGTGCTATAGTTCGGTTGGTGGCCAATGCTCAGATTGTAGGCATCCCAAACTCATTTTCACTACTGTGCCTGTGTATACAAGAATCCTACCAAAATTCTGTTGTAAGTTTTTCATTGTGAAGGCAGCCCATGTTTGATATGCTTCATGTGCTTCAGAGCTGCTGAATTTAACTGTACCTCCCAATCTGTATCCCTCCAACCATGTGCCTTTGTCCCAGTACCTCCTTTTTCATAACTATTCTAATTCAATTCTCATTCTAATATCGTGATCTAATATCATATGTGATGTATGAAGAAACAATTCCATTGTAAAGTGTCAGAACATTACCAGAAGGTAGCTGCGTAATTAACTTCACCATGACACAACATGAATAGATTAATTTACATTTGAAATGTTTCGTACACTTAAAGATTAGACAGTTGTGAAGAACTTCAAGAAAATGTTCAACATATTGCTCTTTTTCTTTCTTTCAGGATACTGATGTTACAAAAAAAAGAAACTCCCTTGAAGATTTAAATAAAGAAGATCTAATCAAGAAATGTAAAAGTTTGCTTATTATTGCCCAGAGAGCAAAACAAGCAAAGGATGGTAAGATTTTGGTCAGAGGATGAATTGTTTTATTTTGGACAAGATGTAAACATTCAAGTTTTCTGTGTGTTGTGGGTAGTGCTTTTGGTGTAAGTGTGGTCAGTGTTGTGACAAAAATAATATTTATATTATAATAACTAGTTTTAGGCTTTACTAAGTAGGGGGCCAATTTAAACAACTAAAAAATATAATAAATATAAATCTGTATGTTGACACTTGAGTTATAAGCTGCAGAAGATCTTTTAAGTATATTATTATGGCTGTTTTTTTATATTTCCCATTCTAGAAGCTGGAGAGGAAGTTATACAACTGAAAGAGCAGCTGCATACTTTGCAGATGCAGGTTGAGCAAAGTTGTGAAGGGAAAGGGAACTCTGATGCTAGCAGGGCTCAGAAAGAACTGCAGTTGGAAAGTGAAGTCTGTACAATGAGAGAAATGCTTGGTACACTTACTGAACAGAAACTTCATTTTACCATGGAAGTGAGTGATGTTAATATTATGTTGAAACATAATCTGTATGATGAAGGTAGTAAAGACGTATGATGCCTAAGTGTCTGTTCCCACCCCATCTCCTCTTTAAACCACTGACAGATTTTTATGAAATGTGATATGAACATCATGCCACATGTATGTGAGATTTGAGGTTCTTACAGCAGTAGACATATGAGTGTTGTGGTTCTGGGTTGAGGTGTCATTTTCAGCTCTGAAGATGGAGATATTATGTGCCTCTGAAACTTTGGTATCTAAATATATGTTCCTTCAGTGTGACAGCCCAAAAGAACTTCATCATTCTACATGCCCATGTTTGTACTTCTTAATTTCCTGCCATTTGTAATCGAATTAAACAAAAATAAGAAAGATTTACACTTAAAATTTTGTTAGTAAAGATCGGTATGTACACCCCCTGTGGGAGCTATGCATAGTTTGGAGGAGGATATTAAACTGGATCTTAAGTAGGGTGTGAGGGGTAGACTGATTTCAGCTGCCCCAGTATAAGAGCTGGTGGCAAGCTTTTTTGAACATGGTAATGCACATCAGAGAACTCTTCTCCATGGAGTTTAGTTAGATTTTCATCCATTTTTTATCAGCACTTTTTTTGGGCATTCAGAGAATGTGTTCTACAGTTATTTATTACTTTACAGCTTTCTGCTCACAGACGAGGACTACAGAACTCGTGTATCTTTTAAAGATCTACAACACTTTCTTTAGATTATGTTTGAGAATGTAAGAATTGGTAGTCATGTCATCATCATCTGAATATTGCCGCTGATTAGATTTTTTCTCCTGATATTTGGCCCCTTCTGCCTTAAATTGTTTATTTAAGCAGCTGAATATTTCTTGTAGGATATGACAGGCTGACTTGTGCTGTTATTGATTTTTATTTATGAGTGTTTGTTTGTTTTATCTTCTGTAGCACATACTGTTTTGTTGTAGGTGGATAAATTAAAGAAGGAGAATGAATCATTGGAGAAACAGTTGGATCAGTTAAAGTTGGAAAACGCTAACATTTGGGAAACCTCAGCTCAGCTTCAGTCGCAACTAGAAGAACTAGAGACAAGTGCAGAGAGCTATAAACGACAAACTCATCGGCTCACCAATGAAAATGAAGCTTTAATTCAACAAATGGACACTCTGGAAATGGAAATGAAAAAGAAAGAAGACCAGACAACAGGTAAGAGTTATACACACACACACGCACGTGCACTTAAAGCCTACTTTCAGTATTTGTAAAGGAGTGTTAGCTATGTGGTATATTATCCATGTGTGTGTTTTTGGCAGCAATAATTTTTAAACCAACTGAATAACTTTCTGAAACTTCATGTGGATGCCACCTCACCTTTGTTGTTTCTTGCCATAAATAACACCAACATGCTTGTCGTGGGATGTCTGAGGCATGTGCCACTTATGTTGCACTATGAAAGAGATGCATTACACAACAGAACTCAAAGAAATTCTGAGACAATGCACTTCATCTTTAAACCAGATCTGGAAACATTTGTTCATTAATTATAGCATCATTTGCATATAGCACTATATTGAATAATAAAAGTACTATCACTATTTTAGAGGAACTTGCCTTCTCCCTCAGGAACTGTGTGGTTAGATGAGATTTTGACTGTAGGCAAGGAAGTAGGATATTTGTTAAACTGTGTATATGTCCAAGCTCTCAAATGTTACATACCAAAATCTTCATAAACGAACAGGGAATTTTATCCTTGTTCAGTTGGTTTTGTGACAACTGAAAAACAGTATGTGAAATATAGAAAAGAATAGATTTTTATCAGGGAAACGTTTTTCCTGCGTGAATAGCCAAAGAGTTAAACAGTGTATACTGGTCCATTTAAAATTGTGTGTGTGTGTATTTATATTGGAGTTTGTTTTTTACTTTGCTTTTTAATAGAACTGAACAGAGAACAAGTGAAATTGTTAGAGGGTGAACTTCTGATGTTACGTGATGAGGTAGAACGCCTAACTGAGGAGGATTCTCGGAAGAAAGAACAGATGAAGGAGATGTATGAGACATTCAGCAGTGAGAAGAGTGAACTGAAAAAATGTCTAGAAAATGTAAGTGCTCATAAACAGAGTGTTATTACCCTGGTAACTTGTTTAAACTTTTGAGGCCAGTGTTTGTTTAAATAAGTTTAATAATTCAGTTCATTCCACAAAGAAAACAACTCTTTTCTATTACAAATATCAGCTGGTTAATACTGTTGAAGGAAATAATCACTAAATTGGATTTGAGGTTTTCATGGTAGTGAGTACAGAGATGGCTGTCTTCTATCAGACTGCACAGTGTACAACCCAGAAGACCATCTTTTAAATAATCGCTGTTTACCTTGAGAATCATGTGAAACTCATAATAAAATATGTAGACTTATTGATTGTTAATGAATGTGGGGCATATAATTGCCAGTAGGCTTTAAAAGGTTTACATATCCCTCACTTTTCGTTGTTAAACTCAGCAAGATGGATTTTTCCTAAACCATAGTAACAGAAGTATGAGGGTATAACAGGAATATCATGTCCATACTCTTCTTTGCAGATATACTCATTAGAGATCTAAAACTTTGAACAATTAATGCTATAGTACAGGCTATCTGATAAGACACTTACTAGTTTTTAAACTTCTAAACTAAAGGAAATTTTGAAACATCAGTTCAACTGAATTGAAGATTCTTTATTGCTGTTTACTTTTGAAATTCAACACAATGTTGTATCTCGACTCCCCTCTGTGGGCCTGCAGTGTCGTATTGTAGATATTGACGATCCTGGCTGGGCTCTAGTGGAGGTAAAGTGGGTTCTCGGGTGGAAGTTGGTGATATGTCAACAAAGAGTAGGTGAATATGATAAGTTGGATTATTCACCGATGGCGCAGTACCGGACCCTTGGTTACCAATCAGCTCTCGTGGTACGCTTTTTCACTGAACATTTGTCAGAAAAAGTGTTTCTTAGATATGTATATTTTAGGATACTATTTGGACCCAAGAAAAGGTAGAAACAGGAAGATGGAGGACATTACATAAGGAACTTGTTAATTTTGTATGTCTCTGATGTTTTTAAGGTAATTAAATAAATGTGGTATGTTAAAACATTTGTATGAATTGTTTTATGGGGTTTTAAATTTATGAGGCTTACTAGTATGTTGTGATAACATGAAAATTTCAACTGAGGATAGTGTAGGGTATCATAAAAGTTTGTGAAATAAACTATGGTTTGATGAAGAATGCCCTATTTAGGTAAGACAGAGGAAGCAGGTTAGATTGCAATGGCTGCAGGACCATGCTCTAATAAACCGGGAAAAGATATGCCTTTGTAAGGCATGAAACCAACAGTACTTTGAGGAATAAGAAGAGAGAGTATCTCAAAGATCAGTTAGGGGAGTTGGAAATAACAGCAAAAATAAAAATTTCGTAGAGTTGTACAGAGGCATAAGTGAATTTAAGAAGGGATATAAACCTAGGACACATTTGGCCAAGGACGAGAATGGGAATCTGCTTGCGGACTCATGTGGTATCATAGACAGATGGAAAGATTACTTTAGTAAGTTACTAAATGTTCATATAGCTGATCAATTTAAAGAGCCTGAAGTACATACAGCAGTGCTCTTTATCCCAGAACCAAGCATTAATGAAGTGTAAATTGCCATTGGGAAATTGAAATGTTAAAAATCTACAGAATTTTGGTAGGGAATTCTTTTGGAAAACGTCCACTGGACAGACCAAGAAGGAGGTGGGTTGTGAGGATGGTAAATGAAGGGAGTTAGTTCAGGTTCATGGCCAGTGGTGGGCTTTGCTGTTGGTGTTGGACTTGTGGGTTCTACTACCAGGGAGTTGGTTACAAGTATGTTGTTGCCCATGAATTGTTTGATCAGGGTTAAATTAGAGGGTGCTCTATGATTACTTATGGAATTATGTTTACAGTATTATTTCACATTCTTGGATTTATATATATTTGCAGGAAAAAAAGAAGATTCAGAACTTGTATGAAGACATACAAATTATCAGTAAAGAGAAAGAAAGATTTCTGATTGACATAAAAAGTGTTGAGGAAAATAATGTTGAGTTGCAGAAACTGTTTGCAAGTGTTTGTACTGAAAGAGATGCACTTGCATTACATAGTGGGAAACTAAATGAAGAAAAAGAGAGACTTGCAGGAAAATTGGAGTCAGGAAAAGTGGAGAAAAAAATTGTTACAGATGAAAATGCTTACTTGAACTTGGAAAATCAACGTCTGAATCATCATTTAGATAATGCAAAGAAGGAACTTATTATAGAGAGGAATGAAAATAGTTTATTAAAACTGGAGAATCAACAGTTCAATGAAAAATTTCATTCTGTTTTAAATGACAGAGAGAAATTAGTTTCTGAATTACAGGATGCTGAGTGCCAACTACAAGGCATTTTGCGTCAAACCCGTTCAAATTTGCAGTGCTATGAAGTGTTGAAATGTTTTACTGAAGAAAGAGATGTTGATGATGATCATAATAAAGATGTAGTTGATGATGGTGATTCATTTTATAAACGGAATAACTCCCTTTCAAATGTTATTTCATCACTTGACAAGAATCTCACACTTTTTATTTCACTCAGAACTGGTGATCTAAATCCAGTACATGATACTTTGAATGAATGCAATAATCAAGTAGAACAGGAAGCACAAGGTAACATTCTGTGTGATTTGAAAAGTGACATTTACTCGGTTTTCTTGCGTGATGAACCAAATGAGACTAGGATTTCTACTGATATTGTTTCCAAAGGGAAAGATGATTTAAGAAAGTTGTATTCTGAACTGAAACTCCTAAATATGGTGATTTCAAACTTAGAGTCTCAGGGTGAATTATTACAAACAGAAAATACAAAACTGAGAGAGTCAGTGAATTATTTGTTGCAATTAAATTCTCAAAGAATTCTTTCATCACAAGAAAATTGTCTTGAAGCTTTTCTCAGAAACTTGAGGATGGGTAACTTTTCTGAAAATTATGATGTTAATATGCATTTAAAGAAAGAGAATGCTAGGGACATGGTCCAGTTGCAGAAGGAAGAGTTGCTAAATATTCAGAATGCTTCATCTGAGGCTGTTGGTCATTTGTTAGCTGTAACAACTGAATTGGATACAGCCAGGAATGTTCATTTGATTTATAAAAGAAAGTCTGATGAGGTGACAGAGCTACACAGAGATGTCACCATGAAACTTACAGTGAAAGAAGAAGAATTGGAAGACAGTTTGAAACAGCTAGAGGTAAGTAAGATTGTGTTTACCCAGATACAAGGATTAGATGCAAACAAGAATAAATTTGTTATGTATATTTTTATCTTTTATTGCACATGAGTATTATAATGCTAATTTATTAGGTGAAGTGCTGTGAAGGCCAAATTAGGATCCAAGATAGTTCAGTCAATATTATGACTATTTCTGACTAGGCTACTGTCTGTATGACTGGTTCAAATCCCAGCAGGATGAGATTTTTTCTTTACAATAACTTCCAGACTATTTCTGGGACCCATTAAGTGGGTTCCAGGCCTCTTTCTGTGGAGATAAAGCAGCTGAGATGTGAAGTTAACTTCCATATTTTCCTTGATCATCGTATGTCCCTTCTGTCTTTTATATCAAGGATAGGAGACATGAAGGGCCAAGCTGTTGAATTTGTTTGGGAGTAAATTGTGCAGGGTCTTCCCTATGCAATTATTCAGCTGTTAAAGAAATTTTCTGCTGTTATTGAACCTGAAACAAATGGACTATTTATCGTGGGCCAGTTCATAACCTGTTTCTCTAGGATTCTTTATATTATCTACACCAGCGCTTCTGAAAGTGGTGGTCCGCAAGTCTGCATAACGCCGGTGTAGATTTAAAACTATTGTTTAAAAATGAAACAAAAATGGCAGCGGCACAGTGAACGGACGGGACGACCACATTGTCTTCAATTGAGCCACAGATTGAGAATCTTGCAAAGAAGAAGCAGGCTTATCTGTCACATTAGAAGTTGACTGAGTTTGATGATACATACCTTTTTCAATAAAAATTTATTTTTCCATAATCCCAAATATCATATAAGACCTTTGACCCTCAACACTCACGCCAGTCCCTAGCAGATTGGGAAACAAATTGCCGGTCCACGTCAACAAAAAGTTTGAGAAGCACTGATCTACACATCTATTCTTCATTCATCTAAGTGCTTAATTTGCAAATTTATGTAATTAGATATAGTTGTTTTCAAGTTTTCCTTTACTGCTACATACTCATGCTGTCTAATGCTATACATTAAAATGTAGTGCATAACTTTATTCTACAGCTAATCAAGAAATTTCAATTTGATACAGAACCTGAAGGTTTATAATGAAAGCCATCATTGGACCTGGTTATAAGCCACCAATAGGTGTATGTTCTGTATTAGATTTTCCAATGACAATAGTTGTGTATTTCCTGTTCCCTTTAGGCATGTGACATCCAGTCCAACTCTTTCTTAATTTATTCACCTTATATAGCAAAATTTATTAATAAATATGTGGATCTGTTTACAGTAGTATCCCATTTTTAATAAAATGTCGTAACATTTCAATATATTGTCCTCATTTATAACTTCTTGGCCCACAACTTGGTAAGAAAGTGGTTTTGACCCCAGGTTTGGAGAAGGCTGGGAACCCCTGCTGTACTTAGTTTAATTTGGAATAGCTTATAAAACTTTCTAGGTTAATTTTTACATATGCACAGAACATTGGTGAAAACTAGATTATGCTCTTCTGATCTTCAAAGACATGAATATAAATTTTTTCTTCCCAAGCATACAAATTTTGCTATATTTTCAAAGGAGTTGTTAGAAATTCTTTTATTACCACTTTTTTATACATTATTTGTAGAAGACATGGCCTTTTGCTATATTTATTTGCAAACCAGTATACTTACTGTCTTATAGTTTATATATTTTATGGATAGATAAATCATAAATTTATTATTACCTGGTGGTTTTCAGTTTCATTGCTTTATTAGAACTTGAAAGTTCATTTAGCTATTATCAAATTTTCATTGGAAAATACATAACTTATACTTTGAATAAGATATTTTGTGTAATTATAAATGTTCATGTTTCTTCCCTTTCAGGAAACCAGACAGGACACGAACATCTTCCATTTAAAGGCTCAGCAGGTGGCATCTGGACTGATAGCATTATCTTTGGGTGTTTCTGAGTTGAATGCTCTGAGGATGAAACTGTTAGAAGATGTTCAAATGTTCCATTGTAATGTGCTTAATGCACTACAGAAAAATGTGTGGGTTGGAATGCAGAAGGTTGTGACAAATTATGTGGAATCACAGATTGCTGTCACTAGGCAGGAAAATGCTGAGCTTCTTGGAGAAATGAATGAAATGAATGAGGTATGGACACATGTTTGTCTTTATTTATTTATTTATTTCTCTAAGTAACAAAGGAAAGGAAGAATACTCATTATCTACAGAAAAACAAAGTTCACATTACTTCATTGCTGTGTCATTTGCCAACTGTTGCAAGGATAGCACTTCAATACTACTATACTACTAATATTATGAACTATTTTATTTATTTTTGTAATACATTTATCATTTTCCTGCAATATTTGTATTTAACTCTTATTTTACAGGTCCTGAAACAACGTGGAGAAACAATTTCAAAACTGAAGGAACTGAACAGTGAACTAGAGTGTAGGTTTAGAGAAGCAAACACCAAGCTTGAAAAAACTCAAGAGGATTTGAAAATCAAGCTTTCAGAAATGGAAACAAAAGATAACGCATTGTGCAACTTAGAAATGAATCTAGCGGAAGTAACGAAAGCTCTACAGGAAAATATACATGAAAAAGATGAAACTATATTCACTTTAGAAAAAGATATAGTGAAATTTATGGAATGTCAACATGAATTGGAAACAAAGACCTCTGCTTTAGAAGTAAAAGAGGAAAGAATACACAATCTTGAAGCAGAACTGAGCAAACAAACAGACAGACTGCAGGAGCTAGAATCTAAAAACAAAATAATACATGACTTTGAAGAACAGATAAAAATTCTAAAAGCCAAAACCAGAAAACGGGAGGATGGTGGAAGCAGCATTGAAGATCATAACATGAGAGTAAAGGAACTTGAAGATGAAATATCGACACTGAAAGCAAGGGTTCAGCTGTTGGAACATGAGACTGAAGAAATACGCAAGGAAAATGGTGAGTGAGGTATTAAAAATACAGTGAAATCTAATAATAAGTTGAGGGATTTGCCAGTTCTCTGTGGCAGATGCTGCTCTGTGGTGGAAGGAATGCATGGGACTGCTTCCCTCAATGAAATAATATTTCTTTGTGCCCCAGTAGTATTATTGTTGTTATTTTTGTAAATTGCACAGTGAGATGCTGAATAATTTGGACTCTTAACCAGATGCTGTAAGGAGGATAAGGAGGATTGATTTTTGAGAGTCTACATGAAGCCTGTATGAAAGAAACTTGGTGAAGAAGAACACAGTTGTAATTTTCAGTTACGATTATCTTCTTTCAGGTGATGCACCAAGTGAAGTGATGAGTAGTAGTACCGTCAGTAGGGCAGAAGAGAGTTCAAGGCTCAAAGATTTAGAGGAAACATTTGAAGAACGTTATACCAAGGTAACGTGTTATATCAGCTTGCAGACTGAAGGCGGAAAGAAAATTATATACATGAGAATCTGTAATCCACATAAAGTAACTGTAGACCAATAGAAAAACAATAGCAGTATGAATCTAAACATTGAAGAATAAATTGGCCACATAGTATTTTATGTGCTTTATACTTTATTTTGTTGCTTTTATATATATGATAATGCATAATACTTGTTTATTACAGCTTCGGACCGTTGCTGTTCGGCTCAAGAAGAGGGTGTCTGAACTGACAGTGCAGCAGACACAACTAGAATCAGAAAAGAAAAAGTTGGCCACAGACAAAGCTGACCTTCAGGCTAAAGTGGCTCAGCTTTCAGCTCATGCAAGAAATTTGCAGGTCTGTTTGAATCAGAACAAGGCTCAACAAACCCCAGTCATCTGCCTATCATGGTGCCTGGTATTCTCTAAAGTATTAAATTTCCTGTTTATCTGTCTTTCTTTCACATTTTTGTAGGAACTGGGCAACCGACATGATCTGGGATCATTTATGGACATATTGTTGAAACAGTTTGAACCAAGATCATTGTTTGAATGCATTGAATGTTTCAGTGAGAACTGAGGCCATTGTTAGAACACATTTTTACAACAATGACCTTATATATTATTGTTCCTTTTGTTATTTTTTTCAAGTAAAAGTGATCACAGTTTTTTGAACAATGGTAGGATCCTTGAGATTTCTTGTAACACCATTTTACCATCTGATATGTGTTCTGTCCATTATGGCAATGTTTTTGCATATAGTTCTTGTTTTTTAAGTTGTGGTCTAGCAGTTAGAACGCTGGCCTTGTAATCCTGGGGTCTCGGGTTTGATTCCCGGCGGTGCCCGAATTTATAACTTGTGTTGGGCAAGGCCGTGGTCTAGGCAACACAGAGTTTTCCTCCGGGGGATTCCCCGGTTTCTCCGTGGCATCCCAACAATTACTCAATTCACACACAGAAGAAGGCAATGGCAAACCACTTCTGGATCATCTGCCAAGAACGTATATGAACAGGTCCCAGTCCGAGAAAAGGATGGAAGGATCCTGTTCATATGGACCTGTCATCAGACAGAACACTAAATAATAATAATAATAATAACATATATTTATTGGTAATTGTTAGCTTTAACAGAATGGCTCTGCTGTAAGTAGTCTTTTTTAAATACATTTGTACCTCTTTCAGACTCTGCAGCTTGAGTATGATCGTCTACAAGATGACACTGAATCACAGAAATCAGAAGTTAAAGAGTTAACAAAAGCTCTGGAACATGCTGTAAATGAATCTGCAGCTCTTAAAATCCAATTGCTAGAATGTAAAGATGAAAAGGAATGCAAAGTACAGGACTTGGAGGTTTGTATAAAGGATAGACAGAAATTGGAGCTGGCAAATAAGGAACTGTATGCACACGTTCACTCCTTAAAGAAAGAAAAAGAAGCAGAGAATATATCAAGAAAAGAACAGGAAAAAGAAGTGAAGAGACTTGAAGATGAGTTAAAAGCAGGTGAGAGGAAATTGGCTGAAGAAATTGATTACCATAAAATAACTCGGGATCTGCTGGAAGCTTCA